TTGAATCCACATGGCTGACCCAAACTTTCTCCAGTTTCCCCCTAGCCTGGTGCATTAAGTAAACTTACTGTCTCTTTGTGCAGAATCTAGGTATCAAACAGTTCATTGCACTCCTCTATTTAGACTCTGAAGGCTTGGTATCCTTTCCCATCGGTAGACATTTGATTTGTTTTAATGCCTTCCTTTGTTTTCTATGGCAGTTCATAGTATTGGATAGGCTTTTAAAACCCTGAGAGTCACACAGCAGATTTGCTCCCTTGCCTCCATTCCACTCCCTAGTCAAAATGCATGCACCCACAGACAAGCAAAACGGGGCTCTCTAAGCTTCTGAAATTCATCTACTGACCCTTGCTTAGGAATCAATACTTTTCTGGTATTTTTTGTGTCACTCAGACTCCTCCAGGATTTTCCTTCCTGAACAATTGTGGAGGAGGAAGAACAGGAGGAGGGGAGGGGAGGGAAGGGGAAAGAAGAGAAGGCTGGATGAGGAGGAAGGAGTTCAATCTACTCTTCTAAGCCTCTGTTTAACAAGAACTCTACCACCATCCACCTTTGCTGCCTTCTTTCTTGCATCTCCTAATTAATCCCTCAACAGTGCTTTAATTTTACCTTTCTTCTCTCTTTTCCCATCACCTTATTTGCACATTTATTTTCACTTTTGCTTCATCTACTTCTCTTTGTTTTCCATCACCCAAGTGACCTTCCTACCTGCTAGGGTCACTGTGAAGATAAAAATGAAATCTCAGATGTGAGAAGACTTTGAAAAGTTAAAAGTACAGTAGCACTGTACAGCATGATAATGACGAAGATGCTTCGTCTGTTTTCTAAGGCAGCTCAGTGTGCTCCTTCCTTCACATCCTCTTGTCACATCCTTTCAAAGTGGAGCCTCATCTTCGACCATCCCCGCGCTGCCCTTCCACGGGCATCTTCTCTGGTCTTTCTTTCACACATCTGTAGCATGCTCTTGGTTGGTCCCCCTCCTTCTTTGTCTGGCTTTGACAAAATGAATTCTGTCATTTCTATTTTGTGATCAAAAGAAGCTATATATCCCACCTTTGGCTTCTATTCCCTTCTTTTTCACTTTCCAGTGTTCTAGTCAGAACACAGTGTTCACAGATCTGTATAGGCTGTTACCAGTTGTGTTCAAAGAAACAGATTTCACTTAGTGTCTTTATAGCCAGATTACTAATACTTTGCTTGGAATTTCTTTTTTATTGTGCCTAGCGCTATTTTCTTCACTTTGAGTGGGCATTAGAAGTAGATTAGATCTGAACAAGTGTGGTCATTTAGTCATTTAGGGTGGCTTCAGAATTTATGGAGTATCGTTTTTTTCTGATGAGAGAAACTCATTTATTCATGTATCAGGAAGCAGGAGAATGAGCAGAAAGATAAAGTTTGAAGATACAAAAAGAGATGGGATTTAGAGAACAGAATGATGGGCAGAAGGAGGACACCCCTTCCATTGAGGGGGATGTGTATAGGAGCAGATAAAATGGCAGTTAAGTTGAAGGAGTTCCTACCAGATGGCATGTATAGTGAGTAATGCAAGTTGCTGAGAGTAGGAAGGGTGGGGTCCATTAGGAGGCTTAAAGACAGATGGTTGGGGTGACAAAGCTAACTTCTGGGCACATGGAAAGAGTTCCCAATAGAACCAATGCTGAGTACCATGAGTTTGTGCTGGCACCAATTCACCAAATGCACTTTTCTCTTGTCCTAATCTTTGGGTTCATCAGGGGTGATGTTCCATAAACGTTCCATAATAAAGAAATGAAAGTGGGCAATGAAGTTGAGGATTTTATAAGATCATTGTTCAAAATAAGGGTATTGAGCCCATATTAAAATAAGAAAGTGGAGATTAGAAAACTAGAGACCCCAATAGCCTGGACATTTCGTGGAAGTAGAGTAACAGGGGGAGGAAGTAAGAGAGTGAACACTCTGAGAAGTAGGATAAGATGGTCATGAGTGGGTATGGAAAAACCATAATAAACATAATTCTCAGCAATAAGAAAGTCCTGGGTAGCAGAAATGGAATGGAGTTAAATTCTTTGATGATGAGGAAGGTAAAGAAACATGAGGCTGAATATTGACTCACAATGACACGTATTGGCTCTAATGTCACAATGATATTAGAGTTTACTATGATAATAATGAAACATGAACCAAGTTCCAAAGTCAGTCTCACTGGGAAGTTGATAGAAGACAGAGGACAGAAAAGAGGATCCATAGCCACATTGCGTGTGCTTTGAAAGAGGAAGGGTTCCTGTATGAAAGCAGAGAATAAATAGCTTGAAAATAGCAAGAGAAAACTAGAAAAATGTTCCCCTTCCTCCAGCCCCAAAGGTATATGGAACTAGATGGCCATGGGCTCTTTAGTGACCTCAAAGAAACTGGAGGAGGACAAAGCACACTGAAAAGGCTACAAGGGGTTTACAATGGGTGCAGGTGACATCACCATATGGAGAGTTGGAAGGAAGGTCAGAATGGGAGAGATGAGTTGCAGACAGTGTGGTGACAGCATTGAAACCATAGCACAAAGCAGTATGAATCTGAACCCCCAGAGAATAGAGCTGCCAAGAGGGGCAGCCTGGAGAGCCTCTGAGTTGCGAGGAGAGGGACTCTGCAAGTTCACCCCACACACCATGAGGATCCCAAGTGTCACAGTCATGTCAAGCTGAGTGTTGAGTCGGTAACAGTCCCATTAATTTTTCCTAGTCTCAATATTTCAAGATCCATTTCTTCTTAGCCTCATTGTCTTGCCTCAAGCATGGATTAATGCAAACTAATCCTAGCTGGGCTCTGCAACACAAGGCTTTGCCCCCATCTATGGCCCGTCCAATTTGTAGTTTTCAAGCTAATCTTTATTAAGCACCTATCTTTCTCTATATTCTTCTCTTGTTAATAAAGAAAACAAATAGGCTCTTTTGTGAGCAAAACTGTCACGGAATCCATCTAATAATCCAACACCTTTTACCCTGGTATTTTTTTATAGAATTAGTTGTTTATCTCCTGAGTTCTAAAGCTGACATGAAATGTATTGCCAGCTAGGATTTATAGAGTTTAATAAAGGCATTTCTTGGGTTCATCTCAACTGAATCTGTAATAACTATTTTTCAATACAAAAAGTCATCATCTTGCTTGTCCTATACAGTTGAAGGAGAGTCCAAATATTTCTTTTTAGTATTTAAAAGAAAGATCCAATATTAACTGCTTTTTTCAAAGCTTTTCTTGCACAAGTATCAAATTATGTCTACAATTTTGTTACCTCTGAAAGTAAAGTTTTTGAGTACAATTTTTTCTTTTTTAATTTCTCTTCTCTTCTCTCATCTACTTCACTTCTTCATAAAATTACTTGATTATTCCTTCATGGTATTACACATTTTTATGATCTCTTTATCCAAAGAATGATATATATTTTCTCTGGTTTATTGGATTGGGCTAATATCTAATGTGTAAGCAGAAATGGCTCCCTATATTGAGATCATTTTTTGTGCTAAGTTTCCCTTAGGCTTGGAGATCAACTCGTGAGTGTTAGCCTTGCTGCCATGATGTGGTTAAGATATTTTCACATGTCTGTATGGTCATTCCTTTACTCTTTTCCAACACCAGAAACCCTTTTCAAAATACACACAATAAAACATTCCAACCAATGCATGCATCAAGCCCCTTCTTGTCTTGCCTCTTCCCTTTCTTCACTCTAATGCATGCAAAATCATGAGACAAAGTTTTCTGTGTGTTGTGAATAATAAGGGAGGAGGTTAAATAGGATGTAAAGTGCAAGAATACAGAAGTAACTAATGGAATCCTGCCCCAACTGGCCACACTTCCCAGAAGAGTTCCAGGAAAGATGCAATATATATTCAGAAGACAAAGCTGGAAGAAACCACACCACATTCTTGCTCTTTGACACTTTTTACATCATACTTTGTAGGTTGGTGGATCGATGCCCAGTCTTCAAATGGGAGGCATATAGAAGAGCGTCAGAATCCCAAACCATTATTGGGTATTAGCTGAAGAAGGAAGGTTAGAGCAATTTTGAAATGGACAAATGTTTCCTTTTATCTAGGATTCAAAATCTGAGAGACATAGCCTCCTGAAGGAAAGAGTATATGAAGTTTGAGTATGGGTTTAGGTGCAATGGGTTTTATGGACGGTATGTGCATTTCCTTATGTGCATTAAACAACACAACCATTAGACTCAAGAATTGCTTTCCAAGCAATTCTTGCAGCTGGATTCGTTTTGTAACGAACTTGTAAGTTCTACTTACAAAGGAAGTAGATTCCACACTGCTTGGGAAGTTGACATTCAATTGAAGTCCTTGCTGGCTGGCTTTGTTCAGCTGGTTCATTCAGCTGTTGACATATGTGGACATTAGATCAAGGGCAAACACAACAAGGGGATTGGACTATGAGCACATGATAAAAGCGAGAGCACACAAGGGAGGGGTGAGGATAGGTAAGACACCTAAAAAACTAGCTAGCATTTGTTGCCCTTAACGCAGAGAACTAAAGCAGATACCTTAAAGCAACTGAGGCCAATAGGAAAAGGGGAACAGGTACTAGAGAAAAGGTTAGATCAAAAAGAATTAACCTAGAAGGTAACACCCACGCACAGGAAATCAATGTGAGTCAACTCCCTGTATAGCTATCCTTATCTCAACCAGCAAAAACCCTTGTTCCTTCCTATTATTGCTTATACTCTCTCTACAACAAAATTAGAAATAAGGGCAAAATAGTTTCTGCTGGGTATTGAGGGGGGGAGAGAGAGGGGGTGGAGTGGGTGGTAAGGGAGGGGGTGGGGGCAGGGGGGAGAAATGAACCAAGCCTTGTATGCACATATGAATAATAAAAGGAAAATGAAAAAAAAAATAAATAAATAAAGGAGACTGAATCACAAAAAAAAAAAAAAAAAAAGAAACCCCAAAACCCCAGGCCCACCAAAAAAAAAAATAAATAAAACGAAAAGAAAAGAAATAATAATGACAACTCCATCCTCCTTTTAGGAAAAAAACTTGGCTATACCTTCAACAATCGCAACTTTCACAACATGTCTTTGGGACAAGGACAGGAGGTAGTGGCTGAGGCTGCGCTGGATCTAGCTGCCAAGAAAGGTCACTGGGTTATTTTGCAGGTATGGCCCCTCTGCCCTAATCTGGGTCATTCTTAGCACCATGCCTGTTTGGGCTTCATCTCATACTCTCTGGGCTTCTCTGCACACTTATTGTCCACCTGTCCTTTACCCCTTCACTTCCTAATCCCTAATTCTCCTCACTCGGACAGCCTGTTCCCTATGCCACCTCCAACAACTCTTCTCCCCTCACTCACTCTACCACGCTCTCTAAACGGTTCTACCTACAAAACGAAGTGGATTCCACTCTGCTTGGGAAGTTGATATTCAGTTGGAGGCCATGGTGGCTGGATTCATTCAGCTGTTTTTTCCTTTGAATTCCATGGCACTTTCTTCTGCAGCACTTTCCTCTGCAGTGTATGTTCTTAGTTACATGTAAGACAACATGGAAGCTACCCTGGAAGTTCATGTTGGTATCTGGAACAGCTACCACTGGTAATTTCACAGAACTTAAAAGGAAAAAAGATACCATTCTTCTATCAAAGCCTGTCTGCTTAAACCTCTTTTGTGCAACTCATCTGGATGCTGGGGCAAGGGTGGAATAAATGGCTTATTGTTCTTTTCTCTAAAGCACTTCACCATCACTTCAGTTAGTGCATCCATTGCTGTGTTGATATGATTTGTGATTTGACTTGTCCTTCACATGATTTTCCTTAGGGAAAGTGATGATCCTTGTTTAGCTATTACCAAGCTCATAGACAATGCCCAACAAAAGCCTACTGAGCAAAAGAATCAATGAAGAAATTAAAGAAAGAATAAGTGGGAAGGCAGGCATTCTCAGCCCCTCCTGACTTTCATTACTGAGAACATCATCTGTCTTCTATTTACTCACTGTACCACATCTTGCTGCTGTATCTTCATCCTCAATTATTCGGTCATCTCAGGGAATCTGCCATTCCCTGGGACTCCATTTCTGGAAGCAGTGGGAATCCCAGGAGAAAAGATGTCAACATCTGGAGTTTTCCATGGACTGGGAGTTATGATTCCCCCAGCCGTCTCAGGCTCATTTGCCAAAAGACCCCCTAACACCTTCAGGAATCCTGCTGCCTCAGCCTAGAACTGAATTCCCAGAACCTGAGTATGTGATCAAGGCTCAAGCTCTCTTCCCTCTTTCTTCCTGTCTGTGGTAGTTGTGGAGTAAGTTTCCTAGGCCCTCTTCATGGCACAGTCAGACCATGAGCCCAGTGAGCAGCCTCAGGGATCCCTGAATCCCCCTCTGTCTTTTATCCTCAGCCAGCAGAGGTTCTTTCTCCCTGCCCTGCCCTGCCCTGCCCAGGAGCAGAAGTCGGCGTTCTTGAAGAAGTAGCTGACTTCTAGCTTCATTGTTCGCTTATGGGTTGCTGGTGCTACTGGCTAATAGGAACCCTACCTTTGCAAGTAGCCCACTAAACTTGCTGCTCCAATAACGTGATTTTAAATGTATTCCTTAACAAATTTTCATTTCATCCACCACTCCTAAATCATACATAGCATTTTACAAATCCATTGCCTTTGATTATTGGCAGCAATTAAGTATGGCAAACATTATTGTTCTCTTTCTATAGACCAGAAAAACAGCATTGAGAGACCACATTACTGTGGTCTTAGTTCTGCTCAGTGCTGATCTGTGTATTTCCAGCTCTACAAGCCTACTTCCTCAAATGTTGGTGGGGGAGATTTTATCTACCCATCATAATGAAACATATTACAATGAAGCCAGGTGACTATCCTTACTAAAGTGAATGATGCATTCTACAAAGCAGTGCTAAGAAATAACTATGGGTCTCCACAGAAAGACAGAGACAGACAAATGGAAATCAGATTTGGGGAGAGGAGACCAGACAGAGAACCTCAGCATTGAAGTAAGGAGCCTTTGCGAGTCTTTGAGCAGCAATGACTCAGTGTGTTTTAAGGAAGATAAGTTTGGCAACAATTAGCAGAATGGTTTGGAGAGGGGGAGAGACAACTCAGGAAAGCTAGCTAGAGGGAGTTTAAATCAATGCCTTTCAAGTTTTAACATGGATACAAATTACTGGAGGAGCTCATTAAAATGTGCTGATTCTGTAAGTCTGGTAGGGTCTAAGATTCTGCATTTCTAACTAGCTTCCAGGTAATGCCCACAGTGCTGGTTTAGAGCCCCCTTTTAACTCTCAAGGATTCAAATGATCCAAGTGTTGGGTAGTGGGGATGAGGAACTGGAGTGTGACCATGTGTTGTACTCAAGGTGTAGAACCTGTGCCACAGCACGATGGTGTCACCTGGGATCTTGTTTGAAATGCAAATATTCAAGCTCCACTCTAGATCTACTGAGTCAGAAACTCTGGGATGAGACCCAGGAATCCAGGTTTTAGCAAACCTTCTGGGAGATTCTCACACACAATCAAGTTTGAGAATACTATATTAGAAAAGGTTAGGGTTCTCAGAGGATAGGGCTCAAGTGTAGGATACTAGGAGTTCCCCATTGTGGGGTATCCCCAGACTCAGTGTTCTAAATGTCTAAATGACATTTCCGTCATTAAAAAGCATGGGATGTGCAATGATATAAATGCATGAAATGCCACTGTGCACTTAAAAGTGTACATTATAGAGCCTGGAGTGTGGCTCACTGGCCTAGCATGCATGAGGACCTGGGTTTGAACCCCAGCACCACCGAAAATAAGTAAATAAATAAACACTATACACTTAAGTGTGGTTGAGGTGATAAATTTTACATTAGGTCTATTCCATCATAATTTTCAGAACATTATTTGAAGGCTAAGACCAGTCCTCCCCTCTACTGGCCTTCCTGATCACTGTTTGCTGCTAACAACAGAGCTAAACTGAAGCCTGAACTAGGGTGGGGGTGGGGGTTCCTTCCTTCCCACCAGAACATCCATCTGGTAGCCAAGTGGCTCAGCACCTTGGAGAAGAAGCTAGAGGAGCACAGCAAGGACAGCCACCCAGAGTTCAGAGTCTTCATCAGCGCCGAGCCTGCACCCTCCCCTGAGGACCACATCATCCCCCAGGGCATCCTGGAGAACTCCATTAAGGTCACAAATGAGCCTCCCACAGGCATGCATGCCAACCTGCACAAGGCCCTGGACAACTTCACTCAGGTACTTCCTGGGAGGGAGGGAAGAAGAGAGCCCATCTTACAAAGAGCTAATTGGAATTGGGAAGGGAGAAGAGAGTGGACCTAGGTTCAGGGAAGGGTGCCTGCTGGGCTATGCATCAGTGCCAATGTGGGAGAAGAGTTCTCCTGTGTGAATGGCCTCTGCCCTCTGTCCACTCTGTACAACCCAGCTCCTAATTGCCACATGTACCTGAAGGAGTCAGGTTTGCAGCCTTTCCTTAGCAAGAGATGTGAGGACGCTTTCTGCAAGTCTGCCGAGAGCTAATATTCCACAGTGGAGAAAGGCATGCTGCCATAAATCTAGCTGACAAGAACACTGGATCGCGTACTTACTGGCAGGGTAATGATGCTCTCATTCAGATGGCGTCACTTACCATCTGCATGCACCTTGAGTATCAATGGTTCCGATGATCCAGGGGGCAGGTAGTAAGAATCTGGAATTGGAAGGTTGTCTTAATGTGTGGTCTGTGGACCAGCGGCACCAGCATCACCTGGGAACTTGTTGGAAGTGCACATTCTCGGAGCCTACCGAACCAGAATAAAATAATCATCCTCAAACAGCACAGCTATTAGGGAAACAGGAATAAGAAAGAGATCAGGTCTGCAGTTCATCCTTTATAAGGTTAAAATGCACCTCTGAAGGAACACGGTGAATGGACATAAAGCAAGACCCTATCTCCAAAATAACCAACACAAAGAATAGGCTGGCAGAGTGGCTTAAGTGGTAGAGTGCCGGCCCAGCAAGCATGAGGGCCTGAGTACAACCCTCAGTATCATCAAAAAAAAAAAAAAAAAAAAAAGGAAGAAGAAGGGACCAGATTTGATGGTGCACCCCTGTAATCTCAGTTGCATGGGAAGAGTAAATAAGATGATCACAGTATGAGGCCAGCCTGGGGGCAGAAGTGACACCCTACCCAAAAAATAAACTAAAGCAAAAAAAAGCTGAGAGTGTGGCTCACATGGTAAAGTGCTTGCTTAGCTAGCACAAGGCCTTGAGTTCAAACCCCAGTACTGCCAAAAAGGAAAACAAAAAATAAAACAAACAAACACCCAGAGTCTCAGAATACGAAGGCATGGTATTCTTGCTACTACACTGCAAGAATTTTTATTACTGGGAATGCCAAGACTCATGCTGTAGAGTAGTTAAAGCCAAGGCCAGGCCCGTGGTGGCTGCCCTGTTTGTGAAGTAGCACCTACAAGGGCTGCAGCTCAGGCCTCCTTCATCTCTCAGGGAAGTACCATTTCTTGTTGCTTCTGCCTTGAGAATTCCCACGTTTCTGAATAGGGGAGTGCACCAGGAGGCTGAGGCCAGGAAGTTTATCTTAAAGTCCATCCACCCATTGAGCTTGGTTGGAGCCTAAGGACAAGCTTCTGGAAGCTGACAGGGATGTTTTCCTCTCTGATACCATCTTAGAATGACACCAATCAGTCTTTGGTTTCTTAGGAGCTGTGCTCAAAGTCATAGTCCCAGATGGGTTATCCAGGAAATTGAGGTAGGCCATCCCACGGGATAAGTGCTCCAGCTAGCCTAACACAAACCACGAAGCCTGCTGGCCCTTTGGGGCCTAGCTTAAGTTAAAATTTGGTGAGGTCATCCCCTCTTTTACTCCCCCCTTTCTAGCCCACCTCCAAAAGCCAGTGTTATCTGGAACACAGAATGGAGGGACACTACCAGGAAATTTGAGATAGTTTAGCTTGGAGTTTTTGTTAAGAAATATCCTGTCCATTGCAACATGGGACAGAAGATTGGGTACCTCTTCTTTTCTTTTTTTCCAAACAGACTTTGATGAACCTCCAAGGTGCTCTGAACCAGAATACAAAAGTTAAAACGTATAAATTTGAGCTGGAGGAGTGGCTTAAGTGGTAACATGAATGCCTAGCAAGCATGAAGTCCTGAGTTCAAACTCCACCACCACCACCAAAAAAAAAAAAAACAACTTGTAAATTTTCTAGCTTTTATATTCCAGATAGGGGAATCATACACACTTAAGTTTTAATTCCATAGCCTTTTTTTAATAAAAGCTATCTTTATTTCAAGCAGAGAAGTTCTGCCCTTAAAAAGGCATTGGACTGCCCAACACAAAGTGCTCACAACACCATTAGCTGTGCACTTAAAATGGAGAACATGATGAATTGTATATATGTTTATTTTATCACAAATTTTTTAAATAAAAAGTTGGAGTAAGGAAAAGGCATTAGGATGAGGTTAGCTTTGCTCTGCTGGCAAATCATAGTTAGCTTTCCTATACCGAGGGTCTTAGGCAGAGTTAGGAGGACAGCAGATCGTCTCACACCACAAACCTCCTAATCATATAATTTATTTACAACTGCAATCGCTGCATCCTCTCAGACTCCCCATGGAGCAGTGTTCTTGGGCATCTCTCCCTGAAAACCTGATGTCCAGTCTTGGTCACTGGGCAAGTAGGATATATATCCCAAGAGATGTTGTTTCTTTCTGGCTATTCTGTCCCAACTACAGGTGCCTTGTTTGTCATTTATGACTGCCTTTAGTAACTTGTTCTGGAAAGAGAGATGGGTTGTGAGGAAAGTCATTATTTACAAGAGTTTGAATTGCTCCATTCTGCTTCCATGAGTGCCAGAAACAGTGGCCTGTATAACATTCACCGTGTTCCTTCAGAGGTGCATTTTAACCTTATAAAGGATGAACTGCAGACCTGATCTCTTTCTTATTCCTGTTTCCCTAATAGCTGTGCTGTTTGAGGATGATTATTTTATTCTGACTTTTATGAGTGTGTCACTGTTGACCAGTTTGGGCATTTCAATGTAAGATTTCTTATCTGTGCTTAAAAGCATTTTTCGGCAAGACCCAGTTTTTTTCAAATGTGTAAGAAGTAACAAATGAAGCGTCCTACCTATCTATAGAGAACAGCTCTATCCAGAAAGCATTTATTAAGTTTTTGCCTGTACAAGGCATAGCCTTATCTTCTGCACTACCTCTGACCTTTTCATCCCTGCTTTTGTGGCAAACATGGTGCCCAACCAAGGCACCACAGGCCCCATAAGCCCAGAGAGGTAGAAACTGTGTCATGGGCTCTCCATGGAAAAATCAGACCTACCAGAATCTCATTCTGCTCCTGCCCATGAGAATAGACCAATTCCTAGAAGAAATGCCAAGACTGAACCCAATTAATTAGTGGGAGCTTGGAAAGTGCCTTTCTTGGGCTCCAGCTGCCACATCTTGCTCCATCCTGAACAGAAAGGATCTCATTCACAGCAAATTGTTTTTAATTTCAAATAATCCAAGGGTTCCTGCCTACTGCCCTTCAAAATGGAGGCTTTTCCCTTCTCTGTCATCACCACCATTCCCCTCAGCAACCCCAAGCATGATGTCATTGGCCCCCTCTAAACCACCTCCTGCTTCTCTTTCCTTCTGCCTGTCACTTCCTTCATCCTTTCTTCATGAGCTCCAGCCCCACATCTCATGCTCTGCAGCCAGGACCCCTTCATACTCTTGCTTCCTCAGTGTCATGTCCAGTTGCCCCTGTTCAGATTTGGGGAGCAGTGAGGAACATGGGGAGAATATGACCCTTTCTTACTCTTGTGACTCTGGTTCTTGTCCTCTCCTCATTTCAGGTAGTGTTCAGAAACCAGGAGCTCCTCAGTCGCTTGTATAGTACTTACACTCACTAAGGTTCCATGGAGGGCAAGAAAAGCATGGTGGGAAGGGAAGGTTTAAAGGTGATGCTGTAGGAATCCCGACTCTAACCCCAGGGCACCGTGACTAATGGAATAAGACATTCCCATAGGCCACTATTAGCAATGCTAAGCCAAGCCCTTTTTTATATGAATCTAAAGCTTAACTCAAATGCTAACCTAAAACTCAACCCCTCTGCAAGTCTGCCTTAAGCCCTGATCCCCAACCAGCCTCAGGTTAGACCACAGTCATCTGGTTGTAGATCAAACTCCAAACAGGATGTGAGGAAACTGTGTCCAGCATGGACTTCAGTGGTAAACCCGCCCTTACCTGCCCCAAGTAAGGGAAGCTGTGTGTCAACACTGCAAGTGATGCTCTCCTTTCAGGACACTCTGGAGATGTGTTCCCGGGAGACAGAGTTTAAGAGCATCCTCTTTGCTCTTTGTTACTTTCACGCGGCGGTGGCAGAAAGACGAAAGTTTGGGGCCCAGGGATGGAATCGGTCCTACCCCTTTAACACTGGGGACCTCACCATTTCCGTGAATGTGCTCTACAACTTCCTGGAGGCCAATGCAAAGGTAAAGGAAAGGGGTGCAGGTGTAGGTCAGGAGGGCCACCAGGCAGCATTCCCACACAGAGGAAGGGGAATGTGCCCCAGGGAATGTCTACACCGAGCACAAGGGGAGTAAGGAAGTGTCAACCCCAAGACCAGACAAAGGCTGAGGAAGACTGCAGTGAGGTCAAAGTTAAGGAAGCTCAGAGACCTGGGCAAGTGACAGTGTGAGTCAATCCCATGTGAATTCATCCCAAGACTCACCAGATCACCTGCATGCACCCAAAGCATGGCAGGTGGGCTGTGGACTGGCGGGAAGAGTCCCCACATTTAGCTGTGTAAGTAAGCAATTTAATTTGCCAAGGATTCAGAACTTCTCTTGGGGCACACAGCTCCTCACATGGATATGGTTTGCCACAATTAAAGAAAAAACAAATTCTTGCATCCCCTGACTCCTTTTCTCATTTGGCAACTCCAATTCAGAAAAAAAGTTTATGCTAACAGTCAGCATTCCTCTGAGTAAAAGGCTATTCACACCACCAGGATCTAGTTCATGAACCAAACACAGCATCTACATGGCCACCACCTCTTTCTGGTGGAGAAAATCAAGCAGACTCAGATGCCCTGACATATTCTTCTACCTCTAGCCCCTGGGTCCCAGAGAGCCCAGCCCCCCCAATAATCGTCATCCTGCCATTTGTTGGATTCCCTCCCTAGCTTTCACCCCAGTGATCTTGTAAGCTATATTTCATTTATTCTGGACTTTCAAAAGGGACAATTAATTAATTTGTCATCACTGGCAGAAATTTTGAAAAAGTACCCTGGTTCTCACTTTTCTCCATTTGTCACCTATTTAAAGGGCTTCTAGGAAGATCCTGACTTCATTGTCACAGTTAATGACCATGAAAGGGGGATGGTATATGTTTGAAGGGGTTGGCACCTTACCTATCCTCAACATTTGACATAATTCTTCCAAGCATTTACTGAGCTCCAAAAGTATGCTTAATGCCATTGGACAATAGGGGGGTGAAGATAAAAAAGACATTTCTCTTAATCTCAAGAAGCATCCTATTCTGTGATGGTACGGGTATCTTCCTTCTTTCTTGCCCCCGTCTCTCAGGTGCCCTATGATGATTTGCGGTACTTGTTTGGTGAGATTATGTACGGAGGTCATATCACGGACAACTGGGACAGGAGACTCTGCAGAACCTATCTGGAGGAATTCATTAAACCAGAAATGTTAGAAGGGGAGCTGTCCTTGGCTCCAGGATTCCCACTCCCGGGCAACATGGACTACAGTGGTTACCATCAGGTGAGGCTGTGCTCTGTGCTCACAAGGGATCCTGTTATTCCTGCAATACATTCTGCGCAATCCTAGATGCAGGCTGTGGGCTTCAGGCAGGGACCAGGGAAGAACTGCCTAAGAACCTGAGCTGACATCGACTTTCATTCTCTTCCCAAGTTTGCTCTGTTCGACCTTAGAGATACAGGATTTCTAGCCTTGAATGAATAAAACTGGTTAACATTGAGGCTTTGAGATACTTTTTCTTTCTTGATGTTTAATTCAGTCATACCATTTTTTGCTCTTTTTTACAAATAACCTCTGGGGCAGTTATTTGCTTATTTTCATTCAGGATATTGACCAAGCCATTATTGATAGTACAAAATTTCAGGTAAGAAGTTAGAGAACTTCTGGTAAAGTCTGTCAATGATTCGATGTATTTTCTGAAAGATTGATCCTGGAGCTGGATCACTCACCCCTCCCATTTCCTGTCGGTTGCTAGGAATGGAGGCAAGCACATCCACACTCTAAGAACACAGCTCTCAGGGACACTTTTCTTACTATTAATTCTAGTTTTTCATCTAGAAAACTGCATTTATCACTGCAGTTATTTTTAGAGCATTCAGCTTTGCCTATTTAATTTGCCATGTAAAATATATTAACAGATAATTTTTGGAAATTTTTTATTTTTGGATTTTTTAACACACTTTAAGGAACTAAAACTTACCAAAATTGATACCATATTTAAGGGCAAGATTGGTCATAGAATACTAACTATAAGCTTTTAAATTTTTTTAATTCATAAAATTTGAGAGGATTAATAAAAAATCATTTGATCCAAGAAATCGTGCCTATGAGAAGAAATAAAAAAACATAAGACTCCATGGAAAAGAAGAAATTTTTTAACTACCTTTAAAGGCCTAGAGGTTTTATCTAGGCAAATAGTGCGAGAGCGCCTCCTAGTGTCCATGTGATAACTTCACAAGAGGCTGAAGCAGGTTGGATGGGCAGTGAGAGGCATCCTAGGCAGGTCTGTTTCTGGGAACCAGCAGTAACATGGTTTATGCATTTCCTTATGACTCAGGTGGACTTTCCTTTGTTCACACCTCCCTCTAATATGTCAGCTAATAGATGGTTGTAAGCCATCAGCCCAGGGTCCAGGCGTGTGCTGCCTGCTGGAGGAAGTACAAAGATAGATGTGCAAATTTGTCTTTAAGAAATGAGCAATATTTAGTTAGACTACATGCATCTGCTTAGAAGAGTGAAGCCCTGAGTTCGAACCCCAGTAGTGCCAAAAAATAAAATAAAATAAACCCAACTATCTGGAGAAGAAAGTGGTCCTTACAAACTGGGCAGGGTTTTTCAGGGCCAACTGTGGCAAGTAGAACTAGCCACAAAAATGTGTTGGAGTGACAGGCTGTTTAAAAACTTTAACTTGAGAATCATGGGCATCGAAGAAGGAGAAGAGGTGCAAGTGAAGGGAATGTGTAATATATTCAACAAAATAATAATGGAAAATTTCCCAAATCTAGAGAAAGATATTCCCATACAGATGCAAGAGGCCTCCAGGACACCAAACAGACCAGATCAAAATAGAACTACTCCACGACATATCATCATTAAAACAACAAGTTCAGAAACTAAGGAAAGAATATTGAAGGCTGTAAGAGAGAAAAAACAAGTAACATACAAAGGTAAACCCATCAAAATCACAGCAGACTTCTCAACAGAAACATTAAAAGCAAGAAGAGCATGGGGTGAGATCTTCCGGGCACTGAATGAAAATAACTTCAACCCCAGGATACTCTACCCAGCAAAGCTATCATTCAAAATAGATGGAGCAATAAAAGTCTTCCATGATAAGCAGAAACTAAAACAATATGTGACCACAAAGCCACCATTACAAAAGATTCTTCAAGGGATTCTGCACACAGAAAGTGACACCCAACTTAACCATGAAAAGGCAGGCAGCACCAAACCACAGGAAAAGAAAAAGCAAGACAGTAGAGAGTAACATCAAGTTAGGTACACACAATCAAACCTTCAAACAACTAAGACAACTAAATGCAGGAATCACCACATACCTATCAGTACTAACACTTAATTAATGGACTTAATTCACCCATCAAAAGCACCTTTGACAAAATGGATTAAAAAAGAAGATCCAACAATTTGTTGCTTACAGGAGACCCATCTCACCGACAGAAATAAGCATATGCTTAGGATGAAAGGCTGGAAGAAGATTTACCAAGCCAATGGCCCCCAAAAACAGGCAGGAGTAGCAATACTTATCTCTGACAAAGTAGACTTCAAACCTACATTGATCAAACGAGATAAAGAAGGACATTCCATACTAATAAAAGGGGAAATAGACCAAAAGGAAATAATAATCATCAATCTGTATGCACCCAATGTCAACGCACCCAATTTCATCAAACATACCCTGAAAGACCTAAAAGCATATATAAACGCCAACACAGTGGTTGTGGGAGACTTTAACACCCCATTATCATCAATAGATAGGTCATCCAAACAAAAAATCAATAAAGAAATCCAAGATCTAAAATATGCAATAGATCAAATGGACCTAGTAGATGTCTACAGAACATTTCATCCAACTTCTACACAATGTACATTCTTCTCAGCAGCCCATGGAACCTTCTCCAAAATAGATCATATCCTAGGGCACAAAGCAAGCCTCAGCAAATATAAGAAAATAGAAATATACCGTGCATAGTATCTGATCACAATGCAGTAAAAGTAGAACTCAACAACAAAAGTAAAGACAAAAAACATGCAAACAGCTGGAAACTAAATAATTCATTACTTAATGAAGAATGGATCATCAATGAAATAAAGAGGAACTTAAAAAGTTCCTAGAAGTCAATGAAAATGAAAACACAGCCTACCGGAACCTATGGGACACAGTTAAGGCAGTCTTGAGAGGAAAGTTTATAGCCATGAGTGCATATATTAAAAAGATTGAAAGATCCCAAATCAATGACCTAATGATACATCTCAAACTCCTAGAAAAACAAGAACAAGCAAATCCCAAAACAAATAGAAGGAGAAAAATAATAAAAATAAGAGATGAAATCAATGAAATAGAAACCAAAAAAACCATACAAAGAATTAATGAAACAAAAAGTTGGTTCTTTGAAAAAATAAACAAGATCGATAGACCCCTGGCAAACCTGACTAAAATGAGGAGAGAAAAAACCCAAATTAATAGAATTAGGAATGCAAAAGGGGAGATAACAACAAACACCATGGAAGTCCAGGAAATCATCAGAGACTACTTTGAGAACCTATATTCAAATAAATTTGAAAATCTAAAAGAAATGGACAGATTTCTAGATACATATGATCATCCAAAACTGAACCAAGAGGAAATTAATCACCTGAATAGACCTATAACACAAAATGAAATTGAAGCAGCAATCAAGAGTCTCCCCAAAAAGAAAAGTCCAGGACCTGATGGATTCTCTGCTGAATTCTATCAGACCTTTAAAGAACTGATACCAACCCTCCTTAAACTGTTCCATGAAATAGAAAGGGAAGGAAAACTGCCAAACACATTTTATGAAGCCAGTATTACACTTATCCCAAAACCAGGCAAAGACACCTCCAAAAAGGAGAACTATAGGCCAATCTCCTTAATGAACATTGATGCAAAAATCCTCAACAAAATAATGGCAAACCGAATTCAGCAACACATCAAAAAGATTATTCACCACGACCAAGTAGGCTTCATCCCAGGGATGCAGGGGTGGTTCAACATACGAAAATCAATAAACGTAATAAACCACATTAACAGAAGCAAAGACAAAAACCACTTGATCATCTCAATAGATGCAGAAAAAGCCTTTGATAAGATCCAACATCATTTCATGATAAAAGCTCTAAGAAAACTAGGAATAGAAGGAAAGTTCCTCAACATTATAAAAGCTATATATGACAAACCTACAGCCAGCATTATACTTAATGGAGAAAAATTAAAACCATTCCCTCTAAAATCAGGAACCAGACAAGGATGCCCACTATCTTCACTCCTATTCAACATAGTACTGGAATTCCTAGCCAGAGCAATTAGGCAAGAAGAAGGAATAAAAGGAATACAAATAGGTAAAGAAACTGTCAAAATATCCCTATTTGCAGATGACATGATATACCTTAAAGACCCAAAAAACTCTACTCAGAAGCTTCTAGACATCATCAATAGCTATAGCAAGGTAGCAGGATATAAAATCAACATAAAAAAAATCACTAGCATTTCTATACACTAACAATGAGCAAACGGAAAAAGAATGTATGAAAACAATTCCATTTACAATAGCCTCAAACAAAATCAAATACCTAGGTGTAAACCTAACAAAAGATGTGAAAGACCTCTACAAGGAAAACTATACACTTCTGAAGAAAGAGATTGAGGAAGACTATAGAAAGTGGAGAGATCTCCCATGCTCATGGATTGGTAGAATCAACATAGTAAAAATGTCGATACTCCCCAAAGTAATCTACATGTTTAATGCAATTCCCATCAAAATTCCAATGACATTCATTAAAGAGATTGAAAAATCTACTGTTAAATTTATATGGAAACACAAGAGTCCACGAATAGCCAAGGCAATACTCAGTCAAAAGAACAATGCAGGAGGTATCACAATACCTGACTTCAAACTATATTACAAAGCAATAACAATAAAAACAGCATGGTACTGGCACAAAAACAGACATGAAGACCAGTGGAACAGAATAGAGGACCCAGATATGAAGCCACACAACTATAACCAACTTGTCTTTGACAAAGGAGCTAAAAATATACGATGGAGAAATAGCAGCCTCTTCAACAAAAACTGCTGGGAAAACTGGTTAGCAGTCTGCAAAAAACTGAAACTAGATCCATGTATATCACCCTATACCAAATTAACTCAAATGGATCAAGGATCTTAATATCAGACCCAAACTCTAAAGTTGATACAGGAAAGAGTAGGAAATACTCTGGAGTTAGTAGGTATAGGTAAGAACTTTCTCAATGAAACCCCAGCAGCACAGCAACTAAGAGATAGCATAGATAAATGGGACCTCATAAAACTAAAAAGCTTCTGTTCATCAAAAGAAATGGTCTCTAAACTGAAGAGAACACCCACAGAGTGGGAGAAAATATTTGCCACTATACATCAGACAAAGGACTGATAACCAGAATATATAGGGAACTTAAAAAACTAAATTCTCCCAAAACTAATGAACCAATAAAGAAATGGGCATGTGAACTAAACAGAACTTTCTCAAAAGAAGAAATTCAAATGGCCAAAAAACACATGAAAAAATGCTCACCATCTCTAGCAATAAGGAAATGCAAATTAAAACCACGCTAAGATTCCACCTCACCCCTGTTAGAATAGCCATCATCAGCAACACCACAACAACAGGTGTTGGCGAGGATGCGGGAAAAAGGAACCCTCTTACACTGTTGGTGGGAATGTAGACTAGTACAACCACTCTGGAAAAAAATTTGGAGGCTACTTAAAAAGCTAGAATCATCTACCATTTGATCCAGCAATACCACTCTTGGGGATATACCCAAAAAGACTGTTACTCCAGAGGCACCTGCACACCCATGTTTATTGCGGCACTATTCACAATAGCCAAGTTATGGAAACAGCCAAGATGCCCCAGCACTGACGAATGGATTAAGAAAATGTGGTATCTATACACAATGGAATTTTATGCAGCCATGAAGAAGAACGAAATGTTATCATTCACTGGTAAATGGATGGAATTGGAGAACATCATTCTGAGTGAGGTTAGCCTGGCCCAAAAGACCAAAAATCGTATGTTCTCCCTCATATGTGGACATTAGATCAAGGGCAAACACAACAAGGGGATTGGACTATGAGCACATGATAAAAGCGAGAGCACACAAGGGAGGGGTGAGGATAGGTAAGACACCTAAAAAATTAGCTAGCATTTGTTGCCCTTAACGCAGAGAAACTAAAGCAGATACCTTAAAAGCAACTGAGGCCAATAGGAAAAGGGGAACAGGTACTAGAGAAAAGGTTAGCTCAAGAAGAATTAACCTAGAAGGTAACACCCACGCACAGGAAATCAATGTGAGTCAATGCCCTGTATAGCTATCCTTATCTCAACCAGCAAAAACCCTTGTTCCTTCCTGTTATTGCTTATATTCTCTCTACAACAAAATTAGAAATAAGGGCAAAATAGTTTCTGCTGGGTATTGAGGGGGGTGGGAGAGGGAGGGGGTGGGGGCAGGGGGGAAAAATGAACCAAGCCTTGTATGCACATATGAATAATAAAAGAAAAAGGAAAAAAAAATTCCAATTTCTTCCTCCAGGTGTTGTGAACCCTTTAGTCATGGCCAAGCTTACTTCCTCCTACAGTCCAACTCACACGTTCATTTTGTGTTCGCAAACCCATGAATGTGTTTCTTTGTCAGCCCTTAGATAAACTGAGGGACAAGAGAAAGAATTTAAAAGGGAGAGGGCTGGGGTCCTAAAAGAGCTTGAGTAAAGATGCCAGAGAGGGATTCATACTTTTGAAGGACCATGAGAAGCTCAGCAGGGGCACGAGAAGGAATAGGACAGAAGATGGATAATGTCATCTGAGCCTCTCAAAACAAGAGGTGGCCATAGTGACCATGGCGGTTCTGGGAAACTTACTGGAGTGAGACATGCTGTCAAGAGCAGGCTGGGCATGAAGAAGAATGAAATCCTGTCATTCGCGAGTAAATGGGTGGAACTGGAGAACATCATTCTGAGCAAGGCTAGCCAGGCTCAGAAGACCAAAAATCGTAGTTCTCCCTCATACGTGGACTTTAGATCCAGGGCAAAAGCAGCAATGTTGTTGGACTTGGGTCACGCGCTAAGGGGAAAGCACATATGGAAGGAATGGGATAGGTAGGTAACACAAAACTTGAAAGTGTTTGATGACCCCACTCCAGAGGAACTAATACAGTAACCTTAAAACGACAGAGGTCACTATGGGAAGGTGACGGGGAAGCAGTGAAGAGGTCAGGTAGAGATGAATCATTCGGTTTTAATACACTAAGCAATGCAGAAAATAGCTGGTCTTTCTTATAATGCTTATGTCTACTCTTCAACACAACTGGAGAAAAGGGCAGAACAGGTTCTGCCTGGAAGCGAGAGGGTGGGGGGAAAGGGAGGGAGCGGGGGCAGGAGGGAGAAATGACCCACACAATGTATGCACATGTGAATAAATGAGTAAAGAAAAAAAGAGCGCAGGCTGGGGAACGGGATGCGCACTGCTGGGAGGGATGTACTTAAGTCCTCCACCAGGGTTGGTGAGCGTGTACCCTGGAGGACCCTGCAGAGGACAAGCCACCGTGGGAGGCTGAAGACACGTCTTAGTTGCCTCTGCAGTGAGCTTGCTCTTGATTTCAGTACATCGATGCCGAGCTGCCCCCAGAGTCGCCCCACCTCTATGGCCTCCACCCGAACGCGGAGATTGGCTGCCTCACCCAGACCTCGGAAAAGCTTTTCCGCACCGTGCTGGAGCTGCAGCCTCGGGACAGCCACGCCGCAGACCGAGGTGGCGCTACAAGAGAGGAAAAGGTGCGTGGTGGGACAGCTTGAGGACACCCTGGGGAGCCCCGGGATTGTAGCACATCATCTTTCTGCTGGCTGCAGTGGCCATACCCAGCATCGATGATACAGACCCGAGGCAAGGCCAGTCAACCTTGAGATGCTGGGCTTTCACCGCCCCCGCCCCAGTCACGCAAAACGGCCTCTGGTTGCGTCCTACGATGTTCCTGCCATTGGGTTTTTTGCCAGGCCATCCAAAGTCAGTTTTTATCCCACTTGTCTGGCAAAGTGAAGAAATGCCAGGGCTGAACAATGGTGATTTGGGAACTTCATAATTCTTTGGCAAATTAAGAGCTGCTTCTCTACCCCTCCTCCCTCATTCCACCAACTGGATACCCCTTTGGATAAGCACGCTCATGGTAAAAAGGGTCCTTCTCTTGGTGTGAGTGACTTCTAGACACAACACGACATCTCTGAACACACAGTTAAGGACTTATGCCAGGGCCTCCTGAAGTTTCAGGAAGGTAGAGGACAGTTATGGAGTAGAAAGGCAGACTAGGGTGAGGTATGGACTTGAGGACTCAAGGGCACGGGGCGGGGGGGCCTGCTCCTGATCGGGGGGCCGGGTAGAGTGAGCCACCAGTGAAACTTTTGGTGAAATTTTTCCTAGGACAAGCTCATTCAACCTCCAAGAAATCTAAGCTCACAAACCCACATCCACCTGGTGGTACTTCCTGGGTCTCTTTAATTAAAGATACTGTTAGCTTTATAAGGAGACACCCCTAAAAAAGTAAGGGTTGGGAAACCTGCGTGGTTACCAGGCACTGATTTTCAAACAGCAACCAGATTGATATTAAAAGAGTTGGACTTTTGCTTAAGGGCATGGAGTGGTGTCATTAAAGCAGGAGTTCTCAAATTTTGTTGTTTTCTTTGTTGTTGGGTTTTGGCTGCATGGGATTTGAAGCCAGGGCCTTGCTCTTGCTGGGTGGGTGCTCTACAATTTGAGCCACGCCCTGTCCCTTTGATTTCCTTTTTTTTTTTTTTTTTTTGTAGGGTCTCATGTTTATGCAGCCTGGACCCTGACCGTACTTTTGTGTTGTTGTTGTCTGGTTTTGTTTTATTTGGGGTACTGGGCTGTGAGCTCAGGGCCTCTTGCATTCTAGGCAGGTGCTATACAACTTTAGCCACACCATTAGTTACTGTTCTCCTGTTTACACTTCCCTGTAGCTGTTTTAACAGGCATGTGTAACCACGCCCAGCTTTTTTATTGGTTGTGATGGGGTCTCGCTAACGTTTTGCTCAATCTCAGCCTCCTGAGTAGCTAGGATTGTAGGTGCGAATCACAGTGCCCAACCAAGATTTCTCAATCTTTTTTTCTTTTCTTTTTTTTCCTTTTTTTGGCAGTACTGAAGGTTTATCTCAGTGCCTTGTGCTTACCATGCAGGCGCTCTATTGCTTGAGCCATACTCCAGCCCTTTTTGCTATGGATATTTTGGAGAAAGGGTCTGGCTTGGACCTCAGTCCTTCTATTTTATACTTCCTGCTGTAATTGAGATTACAGCTACACACTACCATGCCCCACAATTGGTTAAGATGTTAAGATGGGGTCACTAACTTTTTTTGTCTGGTTGGCCTAAAACTGTGATTCTTCCAATCTCAGCCTCCCAAGTAGTTAGAATTATAGGCTTGAGCCACCATATATGGTTTATGTTTGTTACTTTTGAGGTCAGGTCTCATTTTATGCCAAGAATGACCTGGACTACGATTCTCCTATTTGTACTTCTCTGTAGCTGGGATGACAGGTATTTGCCACTGTGCCTAGCCATTGGTTGAGATGGGATCTTGCATACTTTTTGCCCAGGTTAGCTTTGAATCATGATCCTCCAGATCTCAGCCTCCCAAGTAATTAGGATTATAAGCATGAACCACCGTGCCTGGCTTCAATTTTTAATATGCCTAAAAATGAGCTAGAGAGCTTGAAATTCTGATTCTGGGGGATAGGAGCATAGCTCAGTGCATGCCATGTGCAAGGTCCTGGGTTCTATCCTCAGTTCTGGAAAGAAGGGAGGGAGGGAAGGGAGGGAGGGAAGGGAGGGAAGGGAGGAAGAGGAGGGAGGGAAGGAGGGAGGGAGGGAAGGAAGAAAGGAAGAAATGAGGGAGGGAGGAAGAGAGGAAGGGAGGGAGGGAGAGGGGAGGAGGAAGAAGGAATCTATTCCCTTGTCCACATTTCCATGAGGGTCACAGAGGTGACAGCTAGCAGTCTGCCACAAAGTTCAACTCACAAGTATACTTTCTTTCTCAGACCTCATGAGCTCATTTGATTAACTGCTTGGCCCCTAGTGGCTCTGTTGGGCAGATGAATCTACTGTGATCAGGGGTAACTGACTGCCATATCAAAATACCACAGGATGGGCAGCTTAAACAACAGAAATTTTATTTGTCTTAGATCTAGAGGCTGGAAGTCCCAAATCATGGTGTAGGTAGGTTTCATTTCCCTGAGGCTTCTCTGTGTTTGCAAATGGTCACCTTCTCGCTGTGTCCTCAAATGGCCCTTCCTGTTGAGCCCTCTTTCTTGGTGTCCACATTTCCTCTTCTTATAAGACATCAATAAGAATGGATTAGGACCTTAATGGCCTAGTTTTAATTTAAGCTCCTCTTTAAAAGCCTTATCTCCAAATACAATCATTTTCTGAAGAACTGGGATTGGGATGTCACCATATGCATTTGGAGGGGACACAGTTCAGTCCAAAGCCGTGGGCTGCCATGCCCCCTTAGATGGAAGCTTTCCTCCTTCCCTAGTGGAGGAGCAATCTGTCTCCCCCACTTAAATCCTTTCATTACTGGATTTCTTTAGTGTTGAACAACCAGCCAGTCATCTGGAGGAAAAAAAGCAAGGTCCCTCACTCCTTTGATCAGGGTCTATTTCAGATGGCCCAAATATTTAATGAAAACCTCAAAAGCCTAAAAGACAGCCTGAGTAAATACTGGTATAAGCTTGCAAAAAGGAAGGCATTTTTTAACTTTTCTTAAAAATTCAGAATCTGTAAAAAAAAAGATTGGTAGAGTTCAGTGCTTAAAAAATGCAGAATGTCTGCGAAGCAAAAATTGCTATGAACAAAGTCCAAGCCAAGCAAGGAAGGCCTATTTGCAACACAGACCCTGGGCAGTAGCCAGATTTCTTATGTGTGGAAAAAAGCTGAGAGAAGGGAGGAGGGAGAAAGATAAGCGCAAATGAAATCCACATAAGAAATACAAATGGCCGATAAAAATAGCAAAACACCCCCAACAGTGCTCCTTCTTAAAAGAAGCTAAGCAAAATACCATTTTTTACCCAATGATATGTATTTAAAAATACGATAATATCAGTGATAACAATATAGGAAAATAGACACTCTTGTCTCTGTTGACAGATGTTTAATGTGTAGAACAATTCGACAAAAGCTACCAAAATTCAAAATGTTTGTATTTTTAACTGATGGTACTATTTTCAAGAAATTGGCCAGTGGAAACACTGAGAAGTACACACATTTTATTTTATAAATATATATGCAGGTTATTTATAGCAGTATAAATGGTAGATCAAATATTTATCAATAGGGGAATCATAATAAATTATGGTATTTCAAAACAGTGAAATACACAGTTAAAAAAATAAGTCAAATTTATAAATTTATATGCGGTAACAAGAAAATGTGTTCAAGATTTATGGGGCTGAGGATGTATGTAGCTCAGTGGTATAGTGTTTGCCTAGTGTGCATGAGGCCCTGGTCCAATCCCTAGCACTTCTGGGAGGAAAAATGATTAATTATAAGGTAGAAAAAGCAAGCTAAAAAAGCTGTGTGTAATATGATTTTAAGAAAGAAAGAGAGAAAAACCACATGGTAGACATGGTAGATGAATGGATGGATGATGATTGAAGGACATCTACAAGAATATAAACAAAATGACTAAGAATTTATCAGTGTTTTCCCCCTTTTCGGGAAGAGTCAAGACTATGGGAAGGTTTTGCTTCTAATATCAAATATATCTGCAATATTTGGATTTTCTGGTAAATAGTATAAAAAGCAGAGGTGTTGCTTGTAGAAATAAAGTAGATCACATTCTTTGGAACTCACTCCTCTAATTAGAAGGGTGCCTGGGGTTCCCTGAGCTAGAGAGTCATGTATGCATGTGTTGACCAGCTCCTTCCCTATGCACCCTCTCTAGTCGCAGGCCTCCAAATCCTTCCTGGCCTGATCAGAGACAGGATGGGACTCTGCATCCCTATATTCGATGTATTTTGGAGCAATCTTCTCATCTCTTTGTGACTAATGTCCAAATGGCAGCTCACTGATATAGCGCTGCTTCTTCAAATTCCACCCCAGAGACAGAAACATGATATAAATTTAGCCATTTGTCTTTAACCCTGGCTGCAGCTTTCAGGTACCATTAAAATTCCATTCCAGTTTTTGCTATGACAGCACCAGAGACCCATTTGTGATGGAGTGATGGGTTTTTGGTTTCTTTCTTTTTTTTTTCTAACATCAGCTTTTTTCCTGGAGAATGTATTGTATGTTAACAATACAAGGCAAGGTGAATATTAATCATCCTTACATTTATATAGCTCTTTATAGCTTTCAGATGCTGCCTCATTCCTCAGCTCATTTCATTTGATCTTTGCATCAACCCTGGGAGTTAGGAAACAGGAAGCTAGCAGAGAAAGGCTGTCTTGGAAATTTTTACAGATGAAAACCATGAGGCCTAAGTGACTTTCTCACGTTCATATAAGCAATGAATAGCAGAACTGTATTAACTCAGACAGGGCTTTTTGGTTGTAAGCAACAGACACCAATCTAGCTGAACCAGGCAAGGCCTAGTTCACTATATCACAGGAATCAACCAAAGAAAGGAAAGGATTAGGACCCCATGGAGAAGGGAAAGTGAACAGGCCATCATCCTTGGCTCCTTGGATCCTAGGTTTCAAACTTCCATGAAAAGATAATTTGTTGAGCCTAATAGAACAGGGGATTCTGGGCCCAGTGACCTTCCCCAGAACAATGGGGAAGATGTAATTTCTCAAAGGAGGTAAGAGCCTGCTTCTGGAAGAAGGCAAAAGAAATGATGAACAGACAAAAATCCAGGTGAGCAACATAGTCTCTAGATCTCAGCTCCCAGGATTCCAGGATGGACTCCCTCCCCATTCCCCTTCCATTCCTGTCTGCTGGCCATATGGCCTATTATGTTTGTACTTGCTTCATTTTTCTTTCTCTGCTGACAGACCTCCTGGGCTTACTCATTTGTTCCAAAATGGCAGATTCAGCCTTCAAGTGCTTGCCCTGAAATAACCCAGAATCTCTGCACCAATTCCAATTTTCCAGGAGAGAGACCCTGGTTGTTCTAATTCCCCTGGTTTAATTAGCTGACAGTCTGTGTAGGAAGAGGAATCGTGGGTGCAAGAGGAAGTTTACATGATAGATGCTCATGCCTCTTTCAGAACTCAAGATACCACAGTAGAGACTCATAGTAACATAGAACTCTGTGCGTGTGTGTGTGTAAGATATCCCTCCGTATTCATTGGGGTTGGCCCTAGGACTCCCCACAAGGGTACCAAAGTCCACAGTGCTCAAGTCCCTTACGTAAAATAGCATGGTGTTTGCATTTAACCTATGCACCTCACCATGTACACTTTGTTTACTGTGGTGCTGGGCATCAAACCCAGAGCCTCACACAGCCAGACATGTGCCCTACCACTCAGCTTCTCCCTGAGCTCTCTTGTATATTTTAAATCATTTCTAGATGACATCTATTATCTAATACAGTGTAACTGCTATGTAAATAGTTGTTATACTGTATTGTTTAAAGAATAATGACAAGAAAAATGTCTGTACATGATCAGTACAGTGTTTATTTTTTGATGCATGGTTGGTTGAATCTAAGGATTCAGAGCCGGCAGACATGGAGAGCTGGCTGTACTCACATCTCACACACACACACACACACATGCACACACACGTGCGCGTGCACACACACATGTGCACACGCACATACGCATTCAGTATAGCTGCCCCTCACTTCAGCTTCATGTGGCCCACAAAGACCGTCTTAGGCTGAGCCTACTTACGGTTTTCTACTTTGATTCCCACAGCTAACTGGGTCAGTTTCTCAGTTTTTTTAACCCCAATTCTTAGAAAAGCATCTGTGTTCATCTTTTCAAGCTGGTCACACAAGTCACAGGGAGCTGGCCAGTCTACAGGGAGAGTCCCCTGTGGACAGTCCACCCTGACCTGTTGACTCAAGCAAGCAGGCAAGAGTGTGGCCAGGGATGTAGAGGGCAGCAGGTGATGGGTGACTGGCATCTCTAGTGCCACCCTACAGGAGGATGCAGTCCTTCTGGACAGTTAGAGCTCCTCTTAACCCTGTGTTTTCTGCTGTGGGGCAGGTCAAGTCCCTTCTGGAAGAAATATTGGAACGGATGACAGATGAGTTTAACATCCCAGAGCTGATGGCCAAAGTGGACGAGTGCAGTCCCTACATAGTAGTTGCTTTCCAGGAGTGTGAACGGATGAACATCCTCACCAGAGAGATTCGGTGCTCACTAAGGGAGCTGGACCTTGGCCTAAAGGTGAGGGAGGTGCTGGGGCCATGGCTCAAATGGCAGAGCACTTGCCTATGTGGGAGGAGCTGGGTTCCATCCCCAGCATGGGGGAAGGGAGGAGTAAGGTAGTTCTTGGGGAGTGGCATAATGAAAGAGGGGAGCGAGGGACCTGGAACTCCACAGGTCCCATAGGAGGTCCCATAGCTTGTCCTATAGCAACCTAAATGTGACCAAAGTCAGGCTCTGAAAGAACCATGATATTGCACAAGCTCTGCCATTTCCCCTGAGCAGAGAGACTAGTGTTCCTCCTAACAATGAATTAATAAGAACTAAGTTTCCTTTATTCACCATGAGGTATAAAGTACCTAGCACAGAGCTTGTTTTGACTGTTTCACCTGGATGACAGGTAAAAGGGACACCTTTGCTGCCTTCCAGACACTTCAAAGAATTGTAATCCTAGGCTGAAGGTGCAGCTCAGTAGCAGAGCACTTGGGGTGGAGGGGAGCACAGAGGGAAGGAAGGAAGAAAAAAAGAATTAAAAGGATCATATTCCAGACAGAGGGAAGTGAAAAGCCAGTGCTGGAACTGACAGTGAACACTCAGGCAAGCTCTGAAGTTGGGTGTGGAACGTGCTGGTGCGCTTGTGTCCAGTTCTTGGGGGTTACATCACCACAGTCATATGTGTTTAGGAAAAATTTTGAATTTTCATGTGCAGATTCATAGAAACTATGAATCAGACTGCAAAATCTGGATTAGTGGGTTTTTAAAAATCTTTTAATTTCTTCTTACCCCCAATATGGGTGGAGGAAAATAAGGACAAAAAAACAGAAATGCGATGTTGAAGACTGACAGTTTTTGGCAGTGTTCCCAAATTCTGTACCAGCATGTAATCAAATGAAATACAAACTTCCACAGAATGATCTCAAATGTAAATAAGGACTCTGCTGTCTTGTTATGCATCCCCATTACTGTGATAAGCAGGTAGATAGTGGCAATTATCTTGAGAAGTTTTGCTGCAATTTTAGCTTATTGAATCCATGCAATTTGGTGCAGTCTATTTTCCCATTTGACTTTCAATTCATTCACTCATTTTTCTTCCAAGAGCCTTTGCTGGGGTCTTGTGTCGTGAATCACCCAGTGTGCCTGGGCACACTCCTCTCGTGTAGTCCACATAATGCTGATTGATGAGCCCTTTGGGCAAGTTGTAGCAGTGTTCTGTGGGGGAGGACGTGAAGAAGGCTGAATGGAGTCTTCCTTTCCTAAAGGACAGTCGCCAAGAGATGAAGGGGGACACATAAATGGATGATAATGCAAGGCAGGATTCATTAAGTGCCACATGGAGAGAAGAGGGGAAAAAGGAGAGACGAATATGTAAGTTAAAGTGCCCAGAGACAAAGCAGCAGTGAGGGCCCTGAAGGAAGGGTGGATCAAGACAGAGGATGACAAAGGGAGAGTCCCAGAACCTGTTCAGAGAGTTTCCATGCTTTGGATGGTGCAAAGGTCTACTCAGATGGACAGTGGTGATATGGTGAACTTCCAGAAGGTGAGCTTCCAGAACAATGACCCAGAAATAGTCAGTGACCTGGAGGACACTGAGGACCAGGAGAACAGAAAGAACAATCTCCATTCAAAACGCCATCAAGAACCCAGTCTCACAAGGAAAGCCTAGTCATCAGACTTACTGGAGGTTTAGCACAATACATATCTCACCTCTACCCTCCATTTCTGCTGCCACCGGGGAGGGGGGGGGGGTGGAATCCAGCTTGTGAAGCACAGCAAGAGAAGGAAATGGTAGAGGAAGTGATTCATTACAATGAAGGCCCCAAGTAATGACAACTGAGTTCAGAGAACAGAAAGTGTCCAGGTCTAGGGAAGAGAGACGCTGAACTGGCAAGAAGTGAGAAGATATGAGGGAATGACAACAGGGGGACTGAGACAGGAGGAGCTTACAGGACAGTCTGGAACATAAGGAAGAAGTTGAGGCTGGAGTGCTCGGTATCTGTTATATGGAGCAGTGGGGGACTTAAGCTTCATGCTTGCTACCTGGACGGCTGTGGGAAGACACACTTGGCTTTGATGACCCACTTACCTTGCAAGGTCTGGGAGGAAAGAGTAAATTCCGCTTGGCATTCCCTTCTTTAATGTCCGTTCTCTTTTACAATTCCTTTAAAGCTCTGGACTATTTCCAGTTGAGCGGAGGACATGGGTCAACTTATGTCCCCAACACACTTGACAGGCAAACCCAAATGCTCTGCCTGGAGCACCAAATTTGGAAAATTTCTAACTTTTTAAAAAGTGGCTTAAGTGAATACTTTTAGCATTTATGATAAATTTTTTATTCACAGTAATTCATAACTGACTACATAGGAGGCCATAATGTCCACCCAAAAGAGCACTAGCTGACCTGAGAGGCACAGCACTGTAGGCTCTGAGGACTGTGGGAGCCGAAGCACACAGAGGTGGAAAGGGGGAGGACATGTTCCTTGGGGAAGGCCAGCTGGCCACATGTTCCCACAGAGAGACTTTCTTGGGAATTCACAGTGAATCTGACTCTCAGCCCTAAAAGATGAGGAACCAGGTCCTATGAGTATCCCAGAGATAAGGAAGGGCTACTGACTCCTATTCACTGAAGTCACACTGATGTACAAACTCTAAAAGGCTAATTTATTCTTTTAAAGTGACAACTAGCTATAACTTTAAAGGGCCAGATACTGATGGAAGACGATCCAGAAAATACTCATGTGGGAAAAATAAAGAATCCAACTTTTTATAGACTTGCACTGTCTGATACAATGTACACTTATGACAGGTGACTACTGAACACTTCAAATGTGGCTAGTTCAAGGGCTGGGTGTGTGGCTTAGTGGTAGAGCACTTTCCTAGCATTTGTGAAGATCTGGGTTTAATCTCTAATACTGCATGAAGAAAAAAAGTTTCTCAGACATGGTAGTATACATCTATAATCCCAGCACTTGGGAAGCTGAGGCAGACAGGTGTCAGATCAAGGCCAGCCTGGGCTACATAAAATAAATGTGGCAAATCCAAATTGAGATGTACTATTAGTGTAAACTACATACCAGATTTCAAAGATATAAAACCCAAAATGTGAAATCTGCCCTTAATAATTTTAGATTGACTATCAAAATATTTGGTATTTTAGATATTAAGTGAAATAAATTATGAAAATTAAACTCATCCATTTTACCTTTTGAAATGTAGAGTCACCAACATGACTCACTTTTGTAGCTTGTACCTCATTTCATTTGGATATTGGATCCCCTAGATGGCGCCATGGCCAACTTAGAGTCTGGGAAGGCTGGGAAGTACTTTTCACTATTTAAATGTTTGATGCCATCAGCCACTTTTCTATGCATCAGTGTTTCTAAGTATATGAAAAATGTTTACCTAGGATCCTTTCTTTGGCTCTTTACTCCTGTACACTATTGGCTTCTAGTGTGGGTCTGGAGGGGTGCCCTGCTCTGATCCTTTGGTCATCACCCACTGGGCAGCTGTCCTGGCGCAATGGCTTTCACCATCTGATACTCCTGTCTGGTTTTCAGCCTGACAGGAAAAAGTGGCACCTCTCATTTCCACTTCCTACCTCCTCACCTCCCTGTTCCCTGTATCTTATACAAATGAAAGCTAGATGCCAAGAATATCTTCCTAGGGAAGACAGGGTGGAGGGGAGCTGACCCCTAGCATGGGGTACAGCATGGAGCCTCTCAAGGAGCACTGGTGTTGCTGCCTGGCCCTTGGTTGTGTGGATTGAATGCTGCTGCATGACCATGAGCCCAGGCCAGCAGCTGCTCCAGATGTCCAGAAGGGCCCTTTCCAAATGGAGGGTCCTGGCCTCATTCCCAGAGATCCAAGTCCTTGGGTTTGGACTGGAACCTAGGAATCTGAGCTTCTAGCAAGCTCCCTGACTTAAAGGAATGAAGGTCGACAAGAAAAATAAGGTTTTTACTCTGTATTATACCAAAAATGATTATGAAAGCATTTATTTATAGGAATGAATAAAGTGGTTAAGGTCATAGCCAGCCAGCCTTCATCATATCCAGGAAAAGGTGCCACTCAGCCTATAGTTCTCCCAAAGAGGAAACCAAGGAGGCCTGTCACAGAACCCTGAAATGCAGGATTGCTGAATACAGGGCTCCAGTTTTTAAGTTTTCTTTTGCTGAGCTGTGAGCAATATATGCAGAAATTAATTAAGAGTTACATGGAACATAAGCAGATTTCTTTATTGTGGTATAGCTTTACTGTGGTCTTTAAGAAGGGCTCATGTACCCAGAGTTTGGCCACACCATCTTCTTGTCCACCCACCCCAGCCTCCACTAATCTGACAGAATTTTAAGAAACTTTTTTTTTTTCCTGAATACCTTTGAGCTACTTTGGCCTAGAGTTTGTAGATGTATTTTTATCTTCCTAAGAAGGGAACACAGGTACACTTAGTGAATGGGGACAGGGTTTTCTCATATTTCTTCTGAGCTCCTCCTCTTAAAGTCAGTCCTTTCTACTTTGGCTCAAAGTCATAAAAATAACTGAGTTCAGAAATCTAATTATTGGCCAGGTGCTGGTGGCTCACGCTTATAATCCTAGTTACTCAGGAGGCAGAGATCAGGAAGATCGTAGTTCAAAACCAGCCCAGTGTAAGTAAATAGTTCGCAAGACCTATCTCAGAAAAACCCAACACAAAACAGGGCTGGTGGAGGAGCTCAAGCAGTAAAGCGCCTGCCTAATAAGTGTGAAGCCCTGAGTTCAGACCCCAGTACCACCAAAAAAAAAAAAAAAAAAAAAAAAGAAAGAAAGAAAAGAAAAGAAACCTAACTATAGGTGGATGATTTCTTCTTTTCCTAAACTATTCCAACTTCTCCGGTATTCTGAAAAATCCTAAGAGACAGTTCATCTTTAGGTTTCCATCCTTTGCACATTCAATTAGTAAGTGCAAAGTCATCACCAGAATAAATAATCATCTTATTATAAGCAGATATGAGAGACTTTTAAGGAATCCAAGTTACACATTTCATGTTCTTCTGCTATCAAAGTAAGTTTAGATTTCTGAAGGGTGTTAAAGAATTAAGTACTGCATTTAAAATTTTTTATTTGACATCACTTTTTAGAGCAGTTTTATTCACAGTAAAATTGAGAAGTTACAGATTTCTCATATGGCCCAGCCCACCACACACAAACTGCCTCCCTCCTCCTCTCAACCTCCCCACAGCGGTACATTGTCACCCAGAGTCCATAGTTTACACCAGGGTTTGCTCTTGCTGGTGTACTCTCAGTGGATTTGGGACACATAAATAGCAGCTGTACCCATCATTATAGCATCATACAGAGTAATTTCACTGCCCTGAAAACCCTGTGCATGGTATATATTTTAACCATTTTAGCACACGATTTCTTCTTATAAGAAAACTCATAGAACTAGTTTGCAAGTGAGTGGCTTCACTGAGGCCTGGTAACAAAGAGTAAGTTGTTGACTTAGCCTGGGAAGATAACCAGAAACAAAAGACTTCTCTGTATAGGCAAACTAACACCAGCTGTCAGCACCTGAAGTTCCAGCTGACTCTTGTATTTGTCTTACTCTAGTATAGTTGTCAAAGCAGGTGCCAAAAGACCAGGCCATTTTCAACACTCTTCTTCCAATACTTCCAGCAGTGCATGACCTGACTCACTATTATGAGTCCTCTTGGGTCATGTTATGGGACAAATCCAGGATGAGGCCTTACAACTCCATCAGTTCGTATGACAGATGACTTCCCCATGCACAATACACTTCCACAAAATTACCCACATGTCATAAAACCCAAATCAATTTGTGAAGAAACAGACTCAGTCATTATTTGTCAAGCACGGTGATGCACACCTGCGATCCCAGGACACAGGGCGGAGGCAGGAAGATTGCAAGTTTGAGGCCAGCTTAGCCTACATAGTGAGAGTGTCTCAAAAAAAACAAAAACAAAGAAAAAACCATTATTAATATCACTATATTGTTTGCAAAAGCATTTCATCAAAGTGGCAGTTAATTGGCCATTGAGAACTTTTAAAGGAAAAAATAAATATGGCCAGTAATTTTTGTTAATCTTATTGTACTTAATTTCTTAATAAATGATGACTCTCATACATATCTTCTTAACAAGACTGGCAAGCAAGTAGTGATATTATATACACATAAATATTTTAATTAAAACTATAATATATAGGATTTTAATTAAAACTATAATATATAGGATTTTAATTACAGCCCTCACAAAAGCATACATGCTATAGTTCACATCACCAACAGAAAATGTGGCCTTTCCACCTGTATTGTACAACAGAGCCTCTGAAGGGGCTGCAGATATGGCTCAAGTGGTAGAACACTCACGTAGTGAACATGAAGCCCTGACTTCAAACCCTAGAAAGAAAGAAAAGCTTCTGGGATGAGAGAGGCATCCCATGTCTTTGCTGATATGGTCACATGTGGCTACTGAGTGGTGACCTGCAGCTGATGTGACTTAGGAACTGAAGTTTTCATTTTATAATTAGTTCACTTGCATTTAAATAGCCATTTGTGGCTGGTGGCCATCACATCTGACACTACAGGCCTGAAGCATCTGCACTGGGTACTGTGATGTGAGCCAAGAACATGGGGTAGGAGTTTGCCTGTAGCTGCGTTTGCTAAAGAGAGGATCAGGTAGTTTCCTCATCCTAAAAGTGAACCCAGGGGTAGAGCTCTTGCCTAGCTTGCAGAAGCCCTGGGTTTAATCTGCAACACTTAAAAAAAAAAAAAAAAGGAAAAGGAGAAAAGGAGAAGAAAAGCAGAGAGAACACTTCCCAACAGATTTCACGTGTAGGATTAAGTTGGTATCCAAACCAAACACTTGAGAAAAAAGTGACAGAGCAACACTCCTCACGAGCATACAAACCCTTAGCAAAATGTTAGTAAATCAAGTCACACAGTAAAAGAACAGGACACCTTGTGACCACATGGGCTTATCCCAGGAATGCAAGATTGGGTTTAACATTAAAAAAATCAAAAAAGTTTATCCATAATAATGCACTACTTCACAAAATATGATAATCTTTATAAATGCATTTAACAAATTTAACACCAAATACTGACTGTAAAACATCAGAAAAACAGAACTAAAAGGGAATTTCCTCAACTTGAAAGCTAGCTAAGAAAAATTTACCTTTAATGGTGAATGTGTGAATGCTGCCCCTCTAAGTAGGGGAAACATGGCTCTATTCACGTAATGAAGGTCCTTGGCAGTGCAGCAAGATAAGGCAAGTCTCCACAGATGGGTCCCATAAAACAAACATATGGTGGTCACCTTTGATCATTTATTTTTCCCTTTGAACTGAAATTAATCTTTATACTTCATGTTATTTTAATAATTAACTATTTTAAGGGAAACTTAACTGGTATAGTTTTGTATAAACTAGTATGTATCATATTGCATATGATAATGAATTTATTACCTAACTGCAAACCTGAGAAAGACTACACAGTCTCAGAAGTTTGATTTGGGCTCAAATATGCAAGTAGTAAATTATACCCTCTTTTCAGAAGATGTGTATACTAATGCATGGATTCCACGAGAGAAATTTTTTTTCTGTTTTAGCTTAATAATAGTATTCATTTCAGCAGACCCTTAAGGGAATCTACCAGAAGAAATGTGTTCACCTAATGAGTGCAGTTAGAAGTGATTAAGACTTTGTTGGTAGATACAGTGCACTTGTACACCTCTTCTAGAGGCCTCAGACTCCTTCAGTGCTCTGGTCAGCCACCTCAGTACATTTGAGTAAATGCTTGAATCTGTTTTCTATCATTGCAATACGTTTCTTTTGCGAGAGAGGAAAACATCCCTAATTCAGGAAGTACTCATTCAGGTTGACCTGTCTGGCACTGGTCTGATCTGGGATGCTTGTGTTTTCTTTAAAATATTAAGGTATCAATATCTTAATATAGTCCAACCACTACAGTAGACAAAATGTATGGAAAAATCACAAAGAATTTATTAGTCTAGTCTATTTCCTGTAAGTTAGGAGTCTCTGGCTGTCAGTCAGGATATTAAAATATATTCATCTTATGGTGGGTATGATTACCAATTCTTAACAGCTCTAAAAGTTAAGAGAAAGAGTTGGACCTAGAATTCCATGGTGCAAGTCACAAGGCAAGGGGACTCCAGACTTCCAGGCTTCAAGGGAGTAGGAGGGACACACTTACATTCTAGCACTCTGCATTTAATGAGTGAGCCAAACCCTGCCTGACAGGTACCCCAACCCCTGTTGCAGAAACCACTGAAATAGAAATCGGGTCATCAAGAAATCGCTATAGCTCTTTGGTAAAGCCAGAGTTACAAAGTTTAACTCAAGGTGTTTTTCGATATAACCTCTCCTTTACAAATTCCATCTAACAACTTCTGCAAGAGGATTCTTTAATGTTGATGGTTTATCCAATAGCTTGATTTCTGATGGACATCTCTAATTTGGGGAAAGGTTCCTTTTGATGGGCTTTGGCCTCTTGGATCTCAGAGCTGCATGCATCAGCCTGCAGGGCTGTTGCAAAGGCTGCCAGTGCTGAAGCTTAATACCCACAGGTGTTTGAATGCTCACAGAAGGAAACAGTTACATTTTCTGACACTGACAGTAGACAAGTGAGACTCTGTATCACCAGAGCAAGGGAGGGTTTCAAATGACCAACTCCATGAGACACACCTTGCAAAGCAAATGCTAGACTGGGCCTATGGCTGCGGCACCCACCTTTGGAGTCATTTCCCATCTTACTGGCCATGAGTCAGAGGTCTCACAGGCAGTGTTTCCAGCTTCTTCAGGATCCCTTATTCTTTCCCTTTTGTTTTCAGGGGGAGCTGACTATGACCACTGACATGGAAAACTTACAGAATTCCCTGTACCTAGATGTGGTGCCAGAGTCCTGGGCCAGGTGTGCCTACCCTTCCACAGCAGGTCTGGCAGCCTGGTTTCTGGACCTTCTCAGCCGAATCAAGGAGCTGGAGGCTTGGACAGGTGACTTTGCAATGCCTTCCACTGTGTGGCTGACAGGCTTCTTCAACCCCCAGTCCTTCCTGACTGCCATCATGCAGTCCATGGCCCGCAAGAATGAATGGCCACTGGACCAGATGGCCCTGCAATGTGATGTGACAAAGAAGAACAGGGAGGAGTTCAGGAGCCCTCCTCGGGAGGGGGCCTATATCCATGGTCTCTTTATGGAAGGTGCCCGCTGGGACACTCAGGTAAGGGCAAAGGGCATCTGGGGAATAGCTGATTAAGTGCACACAGTGTGGATTCTCCTGACTCTTTGCACCTACAATAGAGAGGTGAAAAGTGAAAAGAGGTGGTGGATCTGACCTCACCATCACCATTTATTAACTCTGTGACCTTGGCATAGTTTTTACCTCTCAAGATCTGTCTACTCAACCATTAAATGGAAGAATGGAGTCATTGTGAAAATCAAGCAAGTTGTTGTGTAAAACACTTGAATAGCACCTGACACAGGAGCAATGCTCATTCCTGCTGCTGTGTGACCCTGGGCTCTTATTTCACTTCCCTAGTCGCACTTTCCTCATCCATGAGCTCGAGGCGGGCAGGAATTCCTTCTGCCTTAATGTCATTCTGTAGCAGCAAAGAGCCAGTATGTATCTCTTAAAGTTACATTTTGAAAGAATTCCTCACTAAAGGCTAATAAAAATTTGAGTCACCAGAGATTAGTGATGTTTAGTCACAGATGGCTTGGGTAATGAATGAGCAAAGATGAACAGCTCTGGAGCAAGTTTACGCTTGTCATACCCATGATCTGGGAAGAGTGTCTCATCAAATATCTCCCTTGGTGGAAGACACAAACTATTTCTAGCAGACAATACTAAGTCAATCAGGTAAAACCATTAGAAGATCTAGAAGATACCAGGAAGACAGGTGAATATGCATATAGAGATGCCCTGTGTAAGCAGGAAACTGAAGGCTAAAACAAAGGTGTAAACTGCTTGGCTGAGCATATAAGACACGCTCCCAACACAAACAGAGCCTTTCAGCAAACTGAGAGACTTCTTGTTTCCAGGCACTTAAGAAAATTTGTCTAAGCCAGTATGCTGTAATACCAACCTGTAATCCCAGCACTCAGAAGGCAGAGGCAGGATGGTTCCAAGTTCAATGCCAGCCTGGGCTACATAGTGAGTTCCAGGCCAATCTAGCATACATAGTGAAACCCTGCCTAAAATAAATAAATAAATAAATAAATAAAAATAAATAAATAAATAAATAAATAAATAAATAAAAGAAAATCCATCTATTATTAAGCTAATTGAGCAGTCTTATAACAAGGCACAAAGACTTCTCAGAATCTACACAGAAAAGTCTCTAAACAAATAACAACAAAGCCTACAGAGAGAATCTGATTTCCAGAGAGGCACAACACATGAAAACAATTAGGAGCTGGGCACCGATGGCTCACACCTGTAATCGTAGCTACTCAGGAGGCAGAGATCAGGAGGATCAAGGTTCAAAGCCAGCCTGGGCAAATAGTTCACGAGACCCTATCTTGACTAAACTCATCACAAAAAAAGGGCTTGTGGAGTGGCTCAAGGTATAGGCCCTGAGTTAAAGCCCCAGTACCACAAAAAAAAAAAAAAAAAAGTAAAAACAGAATGAAGCATGAACAGAACAGTCCTCCCAGGACCTGTGGGAACCCAAGCACACAGACATTTTCAGAGTGGGTATTTCAGGAGAGCAGGGATAAGGGGCCAAAAAGAAACTTTTTGAAGAAATAATGGCGGTAAACGTCCCAAATTTGAAGAAAACCCTAAGTCTACACATCCAGTAAGTTCAATGAACTCTAAGTAGAATAAACTCAGAGATCCATACCTATATATATTATTATCCAACTTTTGAAAACTAAAGACAAAGAGAGAATGTTCAATGAGAGATATAGCTAACTTCCCATCAGAAACCATGAGCCCCAGAAGGCCATGAGACAGCAGTCAAGGAGCTGAAAGAAGAGGCCATCAGCCAAGAATTCTATATTCAGCAAAGCAATCTTTCAAAAATGAATAGCCAGGGTGTTGTAGTTCATACCTGTATTCTTAGTGCTCAGGAAGCTGGGGTAAGAAGATCACAAATTCAAGGCCACCCTGGGCTACTTAAACAAACCCCGTCTCAAAAAAAAAAAAAAGAAAAGCAACAACAAATACTAAAGGCAGAAATAGGCAAAATGTATTTTTAAAACAAACCAAAGGGCGGGGCATGGTGGCTCAAACTTATAATCCCAGCTATCTGGGAGGCAAAGATTGGGAGGATTGTAGTTTGAGGCCAGCCTGGGCAAAACAAGTTAGTGAAACCCTGTCTCAACAAGTAAGCCAGGTGTGGTGGAGTATTTTTGCAATCCCAGCAGAGAAGAAGGATCATGATCTAAGGACAGCCTGGTGAAAAATGGAAGATCGTAACTGAAAAAACACCTGAAGCAAAAACGGCTGGGGGTATGCCTTAAATGACAGAGTACTTGCTTAGCCTGAGTTCAAAATAGTACCAATTTAAAAAAAGATGTCATTATATGTGTCTATAAGAGACACACTTTAGAGGCCCTGAGTTCAAACCCCAGTGCCCCCCAAAAAAAGTTGAATATAGTTGCTAAGGTAGATGGTTCGTTTGGCTACCACTATTTTTGGCTAAGGTAGGACAAAAAGCAATTTTTAAATTTTTTTATTTTTAGACCACACATGAGAAGCCTTTTATTGGACCTAATGTTGCAACACCAGGGCACAGTGCAGGAGGGTGTAGCCCAGCTGGCTCCACAAAGAAAGCAGTTTTATTTATTTAGTGCAGAGGATCCAACTCAGGGTCTTGTCAATGTTCTAGCTTTCTACCACTGAGCTACAGCCCCAGCACTGACAGCAATTTTTAGAAAAGCACTGAAGGGCTGGGGTTTTAACTCAATTGGTAGAGCCCCAGTACTGAAAAACAATTTAATAATAACAATAATATAAAAAATAGCACTTATGAAGAAAACTGTTTTGAAGGACTGGGGGCAAAGGAGCATTTGCCTGGCATGGGCAAGGACCTGAGTTTGATCTCCATGCCACAAAAAATTTCTAAATAAATTTATAGCTTCTCATGCCATTATTATTATTATTATTTTCGTGGCACTGAAGTTTGAACTCAGTGAAACTGAAGTTTGCACTTGCAAAGCAGGCACTCTACTGCTTGAGCCACACCTTCAGTCCATTTTGCTCTGGTTATTTTGGAGATAAGGGCTCAACAAGGTATTTGCCCAAGCTGGCCTTGAACGGAAATCCTTCTGATCTCAGCCTCCCAAGTAGCAAGGATTACAGGTGTGAGCCACTGGCATCTGGCTCTCATGGTGAAGCAACGTATACTTAAATAAATATGTTGAGGAATATACATTTGTATATTGGTTCTTTACTTTGGTTGTAATCACATGGGAAGCTTTAAAATATGCTGGTACCTTTGTCCATCTCCACTCCCCAGAAATTCTGATTTAGTTGTTCTGGAACTTGGTCTGGGCATCAGAATTTTAAAAGCTCCCACGTAATTCAAGTGTGCAGGCAAGCTTCAGCACCACTGCTTTAGAAGAGCCCTTTTGGGGTTGGAGATGTAATTCAGTAGTAGAGTGTGTCTAATATGTGTGAAAGCCTGGGTTTGACCCCCTTAATACTGCAAAAAAAATCTGCGTAATTCTGTTTATATTTCCTCCTACACTTGAGTTGTTTCAGAGAGGGCATTTAACTTTCCAGACAGAAGTATCTATTTTTTATTTTATCAAATTTTAATTTATTGTATTGTGAATGTTCTATGTGCATTTGAGTACAGAAGCAACATTCTGTTATTAAATTAAAATGCACAATATAAAAAAAAGCAACACATTTTAGATTCAAAGATGCAATAATTTGAAAGCAAACAGATGAAAAAGCTATGTCATGCAAGTATTAACCAAAAGACACCTGAGGTACTCAGGAGACAGAGATCAGGATTGAGTTTCAAAACCAGCCCAGGCAAATAGTTCATGAGACCCTATCTTTTTTTTTTTTTTTTTGTGGTACAGGGTTTGAACTCAAGGCTTCATGCTTGCTAGGCAGGAGCTCTACCACTTGAGCCACTGCACCAGCCGAGAGCCTATCTTGAAAATACTCAACCCAAAACAGAACTGGTGGAGTGGCTCAAGTGGTAGAGTGCCTTCCTAGCAAGTGTAAGACCCTGAGTTCAACCCCCAGTACTGCAAAAAAAAAAAAAAAAAAGACAGCTGAGTATCTACACTATTGTCACAACACACTTTATAAGGTAAACACTGTCACTGTAGAAGAGACAGAAGTTAGAAATCAGAGACAAAATAGAACATTTTACGATGACAAAGAGGATAAACCATTAGTCATTACAAACATATATGCGGCTAACAAAAGAGCCCTCAAATACATCAAACAGAAACTAACAGAATGAGCCAATCCAACAATGATAACCAGAGCTGCTAATGCCCCAGTGCGGTAGTGGCTAGTCATGGTTACGGAGCTTGTGGGGTGATAGAAATGATCTGGAATTAGACGGTGGTGATGGCTGCGTAACACTGTAAACATATGAAGCATCACCTGCCCTGCTGCTACTCCTTGCTTAATTCTGGGGACAAGGAGATCCCACTGTTTACTTGTACCAGCCTCTAAAGGAACTGAAGAGGCAAAAAAAAGAAAAAAAAAAAAAAGAACTGAAGAGGCATATCCTTCCTTTTGCATTCAAAACTTCATGAAAATAAGCCACTGCCCATAGCATAAAGGGCTCAGAGTCACATGGACAAAGGTGAGAAACTGTCAATCACTCCAGCTCAGCATTTCTCAAAGTATGTTCCAAAAAACACCACATGAAATGACCAGGTTGCAAAGAAAAGTGTCCTGTGGTCAATCAACTAAGTCTGGGAAACACCAGGTTAAATTCAGATGAACTGTTTTCTTTGCTGCTGGGACTTGTGTGCACCGTCATGTGCTCATGTACACTGCAAAGCTCCAAGTCCAGAGTACCAAAGCACCATTTCCCAAATTTATTTGACCAGAATCCTCTTGTTCCTAAGAATGTCTAGGACTAGGAGAAAACTCTACAGTCAACTAGACAGTGGCCCTAAGCAACTCTACTGAATACCAGAGGAGGCTCCACCTGGAAACCTATAAAATGGTTGGGTCCTTGTTACGTGACTAAAACAGATGTAGCTCTCTCTGATTAAAAAGCTGAAATGCTCTAGAGGTGGATGAGACTGTATATGAGACTGAAAAAAGAGGCAGAAACAGGACATAAGCTAAGTCTTAAAGTCTAAAGCATTTGCTGGCAGAACTGTCTCCATCCTCTTTAAATTCTAGCACTTAGTGGGATATATCTATCAAATAGCTGCATTCATATGAAATGAGGGAAAAAATAAAACTAGAGGACAGTCCAACACCAAAAGGATTAATCTGTACACCATAAATAAAAACTTCTGGAACTTTACATCAAGGAGTGATTTAAAGCCAGTTTGGTATAGTATAGAAGTATGCACTGTAATCCCGGCTCTAGGAAGGCTGAGATTAGAGGATCACAAACTTGAGGTCAGCCTGGGCCACACAGGGAGACATTGACTCAAAAAACAAAACAAGTGATTTAGGCTGAAAAGACAGAAATGTGTTTTCCAAGAGTGTGATGCCTTCCACTGTGGGTTGTTGGAGAAGGCAGGCAGCCAGGGCATCCCTATCTCACCCCTCAGGTCTTCTGACAGAGCGAGGCTCTGGGCTCTGGGTCTGATCTAAGATGGCTTCTCTCATGTTCTTGTCTCAGGCTGGGATCATTACAGAGGCAAAGCTGAAGGATCTCACACCTCCCATGCCTGTGATGTTCCTCAAGGCCGTCCCCAAAGATAAGCAGGACTGCCGCAGTGTTTATTCTTGTCCTGTGTATAAGACTTGCAAGCGGGGACCCACCTACGTGTGGACTTTCAACCTGAAGACTAAGGAAAACCCATCCAAGTGGGTGCTAGCTGGCGTAGCCTTGCTTCTCCAGATTTAGCTTCCTGAAGAGCCTTGGAGAAAACAAAGAAAGAGGCTGACCTGGAGGCTCCCTGACAAGACAGGTGGGTGAGGGTGACCACTGACATTCAGATAAGTAATCATGAGCACTCAAGGGACGCCTAAAGTGATGCTGAGCTGGAGTGTGGGCCCAGGAACTGTGGTGGGGTTATTCTGTTGTACTGGATCTTTCCTAATAAAGTGATTTACTCTTCAACTCAGTCTGTCCCGGCTCTTAGAGTTGCTGAGTCATAAACAATCTTGATGAGGCCAAGCCACAAACATGGGAGCCCTGACCATGTTACACAGCACTACACTTACTGTTTAAGAAACATCATCCTGAACGTGGGGTTGCCAAACTGTTCTGAAAAGAGCAAGGTAGAAAACACTTGAGGCTTTGCATTCCATATTGTCTATTTCAGTTACTCTCCTCTGTTACTGTAGCTCCAAAGCAGCCTAGCTGATTGTAAATGAATGGGTGTGGTTGCATCCCAATAGACTTTATTCACAAAAATAACCAATGGGCCATATTTGGCTGACCTCTGCTGTGGAGGATAAGGAAGTATATATATATTTATTTTTTTAATTAACACATCTTTACCTAAATCCCTACAGCCTGCAGAAGACACAACTGTGAGTGTACAAGCAGGTTGTTTCCTCATTTCTCCATCACTCTGGATATCATTTAATAGGAATCCAAGGAGACACCTTCCCCTAAAGCTTTATACTAAAAGTTTTCCAGATTTTCCTCTAGAAACCTCTGGAACAACTTGCCACTGGAAACCCAAAAGGCTCCACAGCTGGGATGAGTATTGTGGTGAGTTTTAGAATGGTCCATGAGGTGAAATGAGGTTAAAAAAAAAAAAAACAAACTCTGGGAGTAATCCTTCTGGGGTCATTAGTTTCTCCTATTCTTGCAAAGACTTAATTTTTGGGTCAATTACTATTTAGATCAGTGGTTCTTAAACTACAGCAAGCATCAGAATCCCTTGGAGAGCTTGTTAAAACAAAAATTGCTGAGTTCCACCCTGAAGAATTTCTGACTCATTAAATGTTTTAACAAAATGCCATGGCTGCTGGTTTGGAGGCTACTTTGAGAACCCAACTTACACACCCAATCCTATCACCCTGCTCTACAGAATACAGAATCTAATACCAAATCCTGCCATGATTTTCTGCTTTCTTCCCTTAAGTGCATTCCACGTCCCCTCATGTGTGGTTTTACTCCTCATCTTTACACCATCTAACGAATGCCTCCTGGAGTCCAGGAACTCCAGTTTGAGTTCCCTCTCATCAACTAGTACTTCCTACCATTTTGCAACTTCTTGTAGTCCCCAGTTTGTTGGTTAATCCATTTTCAGAGAAATAGCTCTGCCCTTCTCAGGAATATCACCATTCCTGACCCTCCCCTACAACAGCACAATTAGACCCAGTGGGGTGGAGGATGTGTAGGTTAGTGAAGAAGTGCTCATGGTGAAGCTACCTTGCATAAGGCCTGGATTTGATCCCCAGCACCATAAGAAAACAAACAAACAGAAAAAAGATCAAGCAAGAGGACCAAGATTGTTACAGATGGAAATCCCGCTACATGAGAGCAGGAAACTGAAGCATGCAACTTTTGAAGACAAGGACAATTGGACAGGTAGCTTTATATGTTTATAAACCTCTAGACAATATTAAAAACTAGATCAATATTACTGATTTCTTCCTAACACCTACTGGCACAATAAGATATAAGGATGATTTTAAAACATAAAGTACTTTGGCAAAATGATAGCCCAAGTAGGATGCCAGGAGAAGGAAAGGAAGCTTGAAGCATGTGATCAAGTGGCAGGGAGGCTCAAAACAGGGATACCAAAGACAAACTTACCTGAGATGAAGGTGTGCCCTGCACTGGCCACACTCTCACCATCTGAGCATTAGGCAGCACTTCCCTATCACTGTTCTGTTACATCACAGACTTGATAGGTTTCTACGAGCTGATCTTGGGACTCAACTACCATGCAGGATCCTCTATGAAAACAATGTGCTTTAAGTTAGAGTCAACACACAGTGAATATGTCAGACACAGATAAGCTAGGAAGTGACCCGACTCAGTTTATTTCAAACAAGGAATACTTAAAGGTAATTTTTCACCTATATGACCAAAAAACACAAATGCATTCCTGGGCCCTCATTTCTCCCCTTCTGTAAAAGAAGACCTGCTCTAAAGGGCTGACTCCAGGTTCCCTGGTGAGCAGCCACTCCAATTAAACACTCCCCAGGAAGCATTTCTAAAACCAATCTCTAAGTGAGACCTTTTCCCTAAAGGGTACAAAAGAAAAGATGAGCTGAAACATAAAGACTATTCTTTCTCGTGGTGCAGAAGAAACTAATCCTTGATAAAATCCAACCCAGAGGCCAATATATCTCCCAAGTTCAGAATCATGTCCAGGTTCTCCCCCTGCTATCCTCCCAGGGATACAGCTCCTCAGGTGGAGCTGAATGTGTTTTAAACGCACAGAGCACAAACAGGGTTGAGAGCGTGACTACTGAAAGGGCCTCTTTCCTAAATGAGACCTCTGATGTTTGTCAAGGCTCGAGCTCCAGCTGAAACTTTTGCCACAGTGGGAACATTTATAAGGTTTCTCTCCTGTGTGAACCCTTTGATGTCTATTAAAGTTTGACCTCTGAATAAAGCTTTTCTCACAGATGGGACATTTATAGGGTTTCTCTCCTGTGTGAATTTTCTCATGGTGGCGCAATCCTGAGAAGTCACTAAAGCCTTTCCCACAGTAATCACATTTACAGGGCTTCTCTCCTGTGTGAGTTCTCTGATGTTTCACAAAGTCTGAGCTCCGCAGAAAGGCCTTTTTGCAGATGGGGCACTGAAAGTATGTCTCTCCGGTATGAGTTCTTTGGTGAAAAACAAGCTGTGAATTCCTGTAAAAGGTCTTCCCACACTCCCTGCAGGTGGGGAGTTTCTGGGCCATGGGGGCTCTCAGCTGTCCCTTCTGAGAGGCCTCTCTCTTCTCCTCAAGCCACAAGGCTGACAGCTCACCTGGAAGAGGAGCAGGCATGTACTGACCTAATTGTTTCCCAGAACTCCTTTCATGAGAGGAGAGCTGTCCCCCTGGCCCCTCACCATGAAGGCTTTCCAGAGACTCAGGGAGATTCTCTCCTTCTCCAAAGCATCCTGGTTCATCCTCAATGAAGAAGCCCCTCAAAGAACTCTGAGGAGGTGCCTCTCCTAAGGCTTGACAGGAGGCATCTAGAGCTTCCTGGTCCTTGTGGTTTTCCAAGTTTAGGTTCTCTTTGTCATTCTCTTGTCTATCTCCTGAAAGGAGAAAGAAAGGTGTGACATGGCTCAATGAATGCTATGCCATTTTTCTAACTCATATATCAAAGATGGGGTCCTCAGACAATATTCTTTCTTTTTTTACCAAGAGGGTATAAATGAATAAGGAAGAAAACTAGCATCCAGCCTAAATGCCCCAGACTCAACTTCACTTGTGTTGGGTTCAAAGTTAAGTGGATCAGCTCTGGAGCTGAGAATTTCTGAATAACCTAGGAGGACTCCTAGCAGGTTTTTCTGACCCCACCATAAATAGCATGTGTGTCTTAAGGGCAGAGAAAACAAGTATATTGTATGCAAGTGGTACTTTTAAAAATGACTGATTTTTGGGCTGGTGGAATGGCTCAAGTGGAAGAGCATCTGCCTAGCAAGCACAACACCCTGAGTTCAAACTCCAGTGCTGCCAAAAAAAAAAACTAAAAGTGACTGATCTTTCCTGCTTACATATAAAAGATAAATGTAATCACTAAAAAAGAATCTGTAAAGAGAAAAAAGTATACACAAGAAAACCAAATACACTTCGAGTTTATTACACAGAGATAACTATGAGGATATACTTCCTTCCAGTCTTTTTTATTTAACCTTTATGTGTGTGTGTATTTTCAGATATAATTGACATATCGTGCACAGGTCTATACTGGACTATGTATGTAAATGGAGGTATTGGTCAATGTAACATGGATTCTTCTATTCACAAGTAACCCGAAAATTCATGAAATTCATTAATGTGTCATTTTACTCTGGGTGCCAGGCAGTGGATCTTTAATGTAAAAGTGAATCATTTGCTTAAATCCAACATTTACATGTGCTTTACTTACTATCTATCTATCTATCAATAAATCATTTTATTTTTGAGACTAGATCTTGCTATGTTGCCTCAAACTCCTAGGGTCAAATGATCCTTCTCTGTCAGCCTCCCAAATAACTTGGACTACAGATGTGGGCCACTGTACACAGCTACATACTTTATTAACTCATATAGCAGTTTTATTTTTTTCTCATAAATTAGATTTTTTTTTCTCATACTGGGTATTGAACTCAACTCAGGACCTTGCACTTGCTAGGCAGGCGATCTACCACTTGAGTCACTCTGCCAGCCCATAATTTAGGTTTTTGATTATTATTACTTAATGATCCATATGATAAAGATTTTTATTTGGGTTATAAGATTGATTTTCAACTATTAAAGTTATTTTATCCCTATAGATCTAAAAGTTATAGATTTAAAGCCAAATGTGCTAGTGCATGTCTATAATCCTAGCACTTGGGAGGCTGAGGCAGGAAAATCACAAGTTCCAGACCAGCTTAGGCTGACCTAGTGAGACTCTGTCTCAAAACAAACTAACAAGAGGCTATTTACCTCTCTTTTTTAATACATCTGTTTTTCTCATTTCGTGCCAGAGATCTAGACATCTGCTAGAGAAGTAGAACTGACCTTGTTAATTCTCGAGGCACTGGAACATGTACTCAAATGGCAAAGGTACCATTTGCAGTCTTTTAGAGGCCTTGGACTAGAGGTGTGGCTCAAGTGGTAGAACACCTACTTTGCAAGCGCAAAGCCCTGAGTTCAAACCCCATTCCATCAAAATAAATAAATAGATAGGTCTTCATTCGTAGAATCATAAAGAGCTGAGTAGTATCCATCATGAAGGTGTTATCATAAACACCTAATTAATGTATTTAAGAACTCCCCTACTGTGGATACCTATGTTGTTTATTGTGCTTTTGCTACTATAAATAATGCTGCCATAGTCATAGTTTTCCCCCATGTTTCTGATCAACACCTTAAAAGAGTTGCTCCAAGCAGAATTATGGTGTCATTGAGCATGAATATTAGGGTTCTTGATGCCTACTGGTAACATGATTTCTAGAACAACTCTGCCATCTCTGACATTGGAAGCTGGGGAGGTGAATAAATACTGAAGTATTGAATGCTTTTAAATATATGCTATTTGGATCAGTAAAAATGGTTTTTCATTATGTTTTAAATTTTAATTCCTCATTTATGAAAGAATGAATCTTTTCTCAAATTTATGAACTATTTTTAATACTCTAAGACTGTGGTTCAATTGTTACTGGGAAAGTAATTTTTTTCTTATCAACTTGCTTTAAATTTTTTCTATATTAAGAAAAATAGGGCTGGGGGTATGGCTCAAATGGTAGAACACTTACCTAACAAGCACAGGGTCCTGAATCAAACTCCAGTACCACCAAAAAAAAAATAGTAATAATAATAATATAGGCTATCATTTACATGTCAGATTAGTGAAAAGTATTTTTCACCAATTTAGTTACAATTACTTTGTTTGGGGTTTTTTATATATAGAAACTGTTGGGGTTTTAACTTTTTAAATATACTCAAGTCTAGTAATCTTTTCCCTAATGACTTCATCACTTTTATATTTATAAAAATTTCTTCCCATTTAGACACAGTTCAAATATTCACTTATTTTTCTTTTTTACATTTCATTTACATATTACATTTTTAAAAACCTACTTCTGACTTATTTTTGAGTGTGACACAAGTTAAAACCTAAGCTGAATCTTCTTCCCCCAGCATCTTTTCTCCTCACCCTGCTTGTTTAGGTACATTTCATGCCCATGGATCTTTGTGGCTTCTCCATCATGTGTTCATTCTTACACAGACAAGCATCTCTTTCTGGGATCCTTTTTCAGGTTAATTGATTTGTTCACCATTTTTAATGATTTTTACCTTATATATACAGTAGAATCTTAAGATTTCTAGATCTAACATTCATGTACCATTCTTCTTCCAAACTTATTTTTTGCTATTCTTGCCTGCTATATTCTTCCAGATATCTACTCAAGAATCATTTTACCAAATAATTCTAATTACCAAATAATTTTAAGTCTTTGGGATCTTGATTACAAGTGAGCATATGGTTTTCTGAGGCTGACCCCTATTGGTCTGCTTTAGCAATGAGTTGTTTTTCCATATAGTCAAAGAAAATCACATATCCATTCTCTCTTGTTCTTTTGCCTGACTATAGGTCTGGCAGTTTGGCTAACTGTTCTATTTTTCAGACAAGACAGTTCCCATTCCCAGTTCCTGTGACTCCATACTAGCCCGTGTCTCTGTCCTGGACGACAGGACTCCTGCAATGACTCCTCACAGGCTCTGCTTTTCCAAGTATTCCCTTCCTATCTGTCTTGCACATGGCCACCAAATTAATCTTTCCAGACTTTTGCTATATATACTTTCTCTCAAGAACCTACAACTATATTTCTTTGGCTATCAAGATAGGCTGGCCTTGTAAACTCCACAGTCAGGTTCAAGGTAGGATCTAATGCAGCCAAGGTCAGCAAGTAGGATGAAGAAGAAGGGAAGGGAAGGGAAGGGAAGGGGAGGGGAGGAGAGGGGAAGGAAAGGGGAGGGGAGGGGAGGGGAGCAGAGAAGGGGGAAGGGAAAGGAAGGGGAGAGAAGTGGAGGGGAAGAGAGGGGAGGGGAAGGGGAAGGGAAAGGAAGGGGAAGGAAGGGAAGGGATGGGGAGGAGAGGGGAATGAAGGAGGAAGGGAGGGGAGGGGAGAGGAGGGAAGGGAAGGGAAGGAGGAAGAGAGGGGAGGGGAAGGAAGGGAAGGGGAGGGAAGGAGAAAAGGGGGAGGGAAGGGAAAAATCTCACAAATAAAATCATATTGCCAGAAGGTATAAGGGAAATCGCTGAACCTTCTACTCAATTTTGCTATGAACCTAAAAAATGCTCTGAAAAATGAAGCCTATCCAAAAAAAGAAAAAAATTCTACTCATTGGCCAGTTTGAAGAATATTGCTCCAAAGGCATCCTTGTAAAATAGAATAATGGTAAATGTATTAGTTAAAATTAAAATCATGGTTGGGGTTAAGTTCAGTGATAGAGTACAAGTTTAGTACATACAAAGCCCTGGGTTCAATCTCTAGCACCCAAAAAAAAATAAAAATTAAAACTGCATGTCTCAGTTGATGCTTGTTTTCTGTGTTAATATAGTAGCAAAGGAAAAGTAATTAATTAGACACCATTGAGAAGAAAGGATGATTTGTCACATAATTCCCATCCTTGATCCTTTCCTTCCTCCATGTTCTGGGACTTATAAAAGTGTGTGTGTACGTGTTTGTGTGTCTGGACAGTTAAGTTTTACATAATTTAATTGCTTTAGAAAGAATACAGACAGCAAAGAGTGATGGTCAATTTGTAACAGAATTACCCCAGTCTTAAAAGATCTGATTTATTTGAAAGTATTTGTTGATACTGTAATTTAATAAATATTAGGTGTATACAGATTAGGTAAAACATGTTTGTTTGTTTGCTTGTTTTAGCTTGTCAAGGATGGGTGGCTGCTATTCATTGCAACCAGAATAAGAAAGTCTAAGCTGGGCTCCATGCCTGTAATCATAGCTACTTAGGAGGCTGAAATCAGGAAGATCATGGTTAGAAACCAGTCTATGCAAATATTCACGAGACCCCATCTCCAAAATAACCAGAGCAAAATGGACTGCTTGAGGTGTGGCTCAAGCAGTAGAGAGCCAGCTTTGCAAGCATGAAGCCCTGAGTTCAAACCCTAGTTCTGCCAAAAAAAAAGAAAAAGAGAGAGAGAGAGAGAGAGAGAGAGAGAGAGAGAGAGAGAGAGAGAGAGAGAGAGAAAAGTCTAGCCACTCTGAACTTTCTTTCTTTTTAGTACTGGGGTTTGAACTCATTGCCTATGCCTTGAGCCACTCCATCAGCCCTTTTTTTGTGTTGGATTTTTTTGAGACAGGGTCTTGCAAACTATTTGCCTGGGGGCTGGCTTTGAACCAAGATCCTCCTGATCTCTGCCTCCTGAGTAGCTAGGATTACAGCATGAGCCACCAGTGCCCAGCTTTTCTTTTTTTTTTTTCTTTTGGCAGCACTGGGGTTTGAACTCAGGGTCTCACACTTGCTAGGCAAGTGCTGTTACCACTTGAGCCACTCTGCCAGTCCCACTCTGAACTTTCTTGCTAAAAATGGCAATAATGGTTATTATGTAAATCTTTTTGTAATGAAACTCTAGCTATCTCTGCACTGGCCTCGATCTGTACAAATCTTAATTCTTTTTGAGAAAGAAAGTTATCACAATAGACAAGACACAGGGCAGCATATCCAACATGTAGTCTTCTTTTCATTGTTAGATATGTCAACAGCCCAATAGCCAGAGACAAGGAGACTCAACTTGGGTTGGCATTCAAACCAGACCAACCCAATCATGGCTAGTTATAACCAGTGTAATAAAACCCAAAGTCCTAATACTTCCTCCACCCACAACACTACCGCTTACTACAATCGCACATAAAGCAGCCGCCACACGACCACACCACATCGCCACACACACTGACACAGCCACCAATCGCAACAAACCTCGACACCTGCAACGGGGACTCTCTCGGCGACACAATCATCATCTCCAAATTCGAATACAGCTGACGTGTGCCACACCTCCCTCAGCCCCACCACACACCGACCACGACACACCACCCCCTCTTCCCCCACAACACCTCTCCTCCGATCATGCACAAACTCTAGCACAAAACACACGGCCTCAGGTTTAGAGTTCCACCACTCCGCGAAACCCACCACACCCCCCCAACCACCCACCACCCGACCTCCGCCCCATCACAAAAAGACCCGCGGCTAACGCTCATTCGCCAACACCTGCACGCCCTTGCGCAACAGACGCGGCACGACAACGCTCCCTCCGCCCGCCGCAACACCACACAAACGGCCCCTCCCTGCGCAGAAACGCACCTCGCAAGCTTGCTCACTACCCTCTCCCAAATGAATCACCCGCCCAACAACAACCCTGCACGCCCCCCACCCACACCATCGCAACCCTCGGCCCCCCACCAAAAATAAGGAAAAACCACCTACGCTATAGAGAACACATAGGGAAAGCCTCCCACACCTCACCCCACCCCTACAGCCCAACCCCACAGCTCCCCTGTGAAGAGCCGCAACAGCCTACTTAATCACACGCAGTGGAAACATATGCGCGAAGGCCACAAAAACAAGAGTCTGCACAGGTGACCAGAAGGGCCTGGCCTATAGACCACTGGCAGGCTGGTGCAAGAATCATGACAGAAATCCCATCAGTGTATTTTTATTTAATGTGATTTAGAAGGAGCCAGCCACACCTCTACCCTCTCGTCATCTTTAAGAGGGAAATATCATCTATCATTTCATAAATTAAAGACATTACTACATGCAGAAAACTCACAACAGTTCCCAGCAAACAGAATATTCTCAACATGAGGAAGTTCCATTATAACTCTGTTATCTCTAACTGGCCCCAGTTCCCAACTGTGTGTCTGATGATGTCCTTCATCCACAGAACCTGAAGTTGCCTCTATGAATGCACAGAAAATACTTAACAATTTTCCAGTCTTTCTATCAAGCTGACCCACGCCCTCACCTCCTGAGACCATTTTCCCATAGGTCTCCAGCATGAGATCCCAGTACTGCTCCTTTTGAGTGGAATCCAGGTTTTTCCACTGCTCCTGGAAAAAATATAATAGTGTCACTCCAAGGAGGGTGTTTGAACCTGCCTTCCTGGCCCAAAGGACAGCTGAGAAGAAAGGAATGTGATAGAGGATCTTAGCCATCAGAAGAGCTAAGAACTTGAGAGAGCATGCCTTGGAACAAAGAGGCCAATAAAATGACAGTCCCTTACGCAGTAGTTAGAAAACAGGGTTTCTGTTTTTGTTTTTTGCTTTTTTATTTGCGGTACTGGGGTTTTTAACTCAGGGCCTTCATCTTGAGCCACTCCACCAGCACTATTTTTGTGACTTTTTTTTTCAAGATTGTGTTTCACGGACTATTTGCTTGGGCTGGCTTCAAACTGGGATCTTCCTGATTTCTGACTCCTGAGTAGTTAGGATTACAGGCGTGAGCCACCAGCGCCCAGCTCTGTTTTGTTTTTGTGTTTGTTTTTACTTGCATATATTTAAGCGTGGAGAACATAAAGGAGGCAGATAAGTCTTTTCTACATTGCTGCTTTTTTTTTTTTTAAACTCTTCCAAGTGGTTGTAGAATTGATCTTTGGACAATAGGAACCTGGCATTTCCAGTACTTAATTAAAATCTAGAAATTCAAGAAGAGGAAGAAATTTTTAAAGGAATTTGTCAGAAATCAAGTGCAAATCAGCACAAAGGTAAGAAGAACCGGTAATGAAGTCAATTGCACTGTAAGCCTTACTCTGAAACAAAGATTGTGGCTTCAGGAGAATAAAGTGATATTGCAGCCATACACATTCTCAATAATTCTGCATTTAGGGCCTAATATTAAACCTGCTTTACTCCATTAGGGAGAGAATGGGTTGTCTGGAGCAAGATATCCTTCCATTATTCACAAAAGTTCCTATGGAACAACAGACAGAGGACCCAAAACTGATGCCGCCAGACTAGGATCTACTTTCCTAAACTCAAATTCTAATCTTCCCAGAGTGAAGCTGACCGTCTGAATGATTAGTAGCCCATTCTTTGGAGTCAGACACACAGGGTTTCAAGTCCCAGCCTCACCATTTTCTAGCTGTGTGACCTTGAACAAGTTACTTAAGTATCTGGAGTCTTGGTCTTCACCTGATGATGGCACTGGATTGGAAAAATTATCAGGAGACATGAAAGAAATAAGGTGTCACCTGTTTCCAGAGCACACTATACTTTTCACTCATAGCAATCATCAGCTTATTAAACATTTATTTGTGCATGAATATATATGTATATTGACAAGCCCACGTGCATATTTGATTAACTGTTGTCCCTAATAGCATTAAATTCCATGAGAAAAGGACTGTCATACCTTCCACTCTACTTTCCTGTCCCCAAAACCCTGCCTGCAACAGAGAAGGCCTAAATTTATGTTGTCAGGGTGAAATAAAGCCCATGGTGTGTAAGTCCTCAGTAGATGATACATATCATTACCATCATATGCAGTCTCCCAGACTCATGCCAAAGCTTTGCATAGAGAACTAAGGGATTCTGCAGAACTTTGGGGACCCCCAAGTTGATACGATGCATATATAGTCAGGCTTTAGCCTTCCCTTTAGGGAGCAGAAATGAGGAGAGGAATTATGAAGTCATCTTTCTACTATATCTAATATTACTCAAGGGGGCATTCTCAATCCTAAATCCAGTTTGCCCCCAGGACATCCAAAGGAGATAGAAATGGCTCAAAGAGAAAGTAGACACCACCAAGTATTAAATTAGCAAATGTTAATAAATGAGAGAGAGAGAGAGAGAGAGAGAGAGATTGATTGATGGGATTTTTTGTTTTGGTTGTAACTAGGGTTTGAATTCAGGGCTTCACACTTCCTAAGCAGGCACTCTACTGCTTTAGCCATGCCTCCAGTCCTTTTTTTCTGTGGTTGTTTTTGAGCTAGGGTCTCATTTTTTTCCCTAGGCTAGCCTGGACTGTAATCCTCTTTATCTTACACTTTCTGTTACTGGAAAGACAAGGTCGAACCACCAGACCCAGCTTTTTCCATTAAGGTGGGATATCACAAACTTTTTTTGCCTGAACTGGCTTGGAACTGCACTCAGTCTCCCACATAGCTGGAATGACAGGCACACTCTACTGACCCCAGGTAATGTTTGAGATGAGGACTCTTGAACTTTTTGTCCAGGCTGACCTTGAAACCTGGTCCTCCAAATCTCAGCCTCCTGAGTAGCTAGGATTACAGGCGTCAGTCATGGACACCCAGATAGAGATTGGATTGTTTTAGTGTGGAAAAGAATAGGAAGCTGAAAAGTAATTAATGTTTTTAATATGAATTTCAATTTATAAGTTTTAATTTGTAAAGCATGAGTTGCTAGTAGCTTATTTTGTTAATGCTCTGTGAATAAGGCTATTTAAACAAGGTCCTAAAAATAACCAGCATTGCTGAATAGAGGAGTCTTCCATCTTTGTGGTCAGAACACAGACACTTACTTTAGAGCTAGCAGAGAAAAGGCACAGTAATAGCTGATGGACACCTAGCCTGCTCCAAGGACATCAGAAATCACTACTCAGAACTGTACAAGACAAAGCCCTAAATCCCCACAGACCACAAACAGCTCATGTGAAAACCAGAAAAGGTACTTCAGAAGGCTCTGAACAGTGTACTTCCAGCTGAAGGCTACATGCTTAACTGCCAAGAAACTACAGAAGCTTGAACACAATACCCTACATGAGATGGAAGACACCAATGGCAGTCATCATGCCCTTTTCTCATACTTATAGAGAAGGAAGCCTAATTTCCCACTCTAGAAGGATGCAAGTGTGGGGTTTGATGAGGAAGTCATCTCTATTTTTATGTGGAAATAGCACCATCTTGTGGATTTAGGAGCTATTACTGCAATTGAATTATAAAGGAGTTGTCCATACTGTGTTCCTTTCCTCTATCTTTGAAAACACGGCCATGTAATAAATGCATCCATCCTTCCAGTCTAGGCAAGGGTCTAACTCAGTAATGGTTCTGATAATGAAGCAACACTGATGATCCCACTTCAGTACTCTGGCATCATTAATGAAGACCCTAATTCATGGACAAGACTGAAGGAAGTGATTACTTGTCTTTAAATTTTTCTTCACTTTCAAAAGATTCCATTAAATAACAAGGTCTTTCTGAAGCAAATAATGGTTGCTAGTTTGGGGTGGGTATGACTTTTGTTTGTTTGAGTGGGTGGTAATCAGTTGTGACATAAATGTAGATATATGAGTATGTACACAGTCATCAGTAACAAATTAGTGCTGCTGAGCATTTTGATTTTTTTTTTTTTGAGATAGGGTATCATTATGTACTCCAGGCTAGTCTCAAATTTGCTGTGTAGCCAAGGTTGGTCTTTAACTTGTGATCCTCCTGACTCAGCCTCCCCTGAGTGCTGGGATTATAGATAAACACAACCAGGCAAAGCTTTGGATTTCTTAAGTTGCCAAAATAGGTAATGGTTAATGTCTGAGCACTCTATTGGTTAAAACATATTAATTACACATGTCATAGGTGTTTCCCTATACATACTACAATCCTCTAAACCTGGTTGAAATATTTCACAAAATAACCAAATCTCTTTCCTTTTCTTTTTTGTGCTAGGGATTGAACCTAAGGCCTCATGCATGCTAAGCATGTACTCTACCACTGAACTATACCTCCAGCCCCCAAAATCCTTTTTACCAAGCAACCTCTGCTTAACGACTTGGTTTCTGGGTGCCTTGAAAAGAGAGATACACTTGACTCAAAGCTATATCCCTCCCCTGTCACCTCTCCATCTTCCTTACCCAATGTAAACTGAGATGCTGGCATTCGATTCTAAATCTGGAAAGCTGAGGCTCAGGCCCTGGTGTGAACATGGCATTAAGGACTACCTACCACCTTCTCTGTTTTTACCTTTCCTCCAAAGTAGCTTCCAAGGCAAGTGCCAAAAGGAGTTCCCTTGAGGTTTTAAATCTTTCAATTAAGAGGTATAGGTTCCTGAATTTTCTTTAATCAAATGCAACTTTTCAGAGTCATTAACTACATATCAACATAAATCCGTTCAAGAGCAACTGGATTTGCCTTTTTGTCTGAAACGCTAAAATGATGACAAAATATATGAAGCAATGGATTCTAGACATTGCACATTATGCAGAGCAGGACAGAACAGAGATCCCTGAGAGAGAGGAAATAACTAAGTCCTACAGCTGTCCAAATGTACTGCCTGGAAAGAGGATCTGGGAAGTAACACAGAAACAGGGAATCTGAGCTAAACCAGGTACTTCCTAGGAGTGGATCAGGAGCTCACGGTCTAGGGAGGCCAAGATGGTTATAGAGAGAAAGAAGAAGCACAAAGAGAGGTTTAGAGATCTGCAGAGGGATCCTCAAGTCCAGGAAAGATAACAAACCAAAAGAATCGAAGGGTCAGGCATGGTGGTGCACACCTGTAGTCTCAGCTATTTGGGAAGTGGAGACAGGAGGATTTAGCATTCAATGCCAGCCTGGGCATTGAACACTTCCTCACAAGAAACAAAATGGGGGATGGAAGTGTGGCTTAAGCAGTATAGTGCCTGCCCAGTTAGCAAGAAGACCTGAGTTCAAACCTGAGTACCACAAAAAAAAAAAAAAAAAAAAAAGAGCTAGAGGCATAGCTCAAGTGAGTTCAATCCCCAGCAACACACACACACACATACACAGAGAGAAAGAGAAAGAGAAAGAGAAAGAGAAAGAGAAAGAGAAAGAGAGAGAGAGAGAGAGAGAGAGAGAGAGAGAGAGAGAGAGAGAATATGAATCAGAGAGAACATCCTGGAGTAATGGAGGGAAAACAACAACTTGCTTCCCTGGTGCTGTCCAGGGAATCTGCAGTTTCACTTTCTCTGGTTTTGGTTAACTGTTATTTGGAAATATTGAATGGAAAATTTCAGAAATAGAGAATTTGTAGGTTTTAAATTGTGTACCATTCTGAGAACGTGATGAAATCTCTCACAGGATATGAATTATCCCTCTGTCCAGAACACGCACACTGCATAGGCTACCTATTAGTCACTTAGTAGCCATCTTGTTTGTCCGATCACAGGGCTGGTGTTCAAGTAATCCTTATTGTACTTAATAAAGACCCCAAAGCACAAGAATAGTGAGGCCAGATTCACCAAAAGGAAGCCATACAGTGCTTCCTTTAAGTGAGAAACATGAACATTCTTGAGTTAAAAATCATATACTGAGGTTGCTAAGATCTACATTAAGAACATATCTTCAATCCATGAAATTGTGAAGAAGGAAAAAGAATGGTAGTTTTGCAGAAATTATGGCCACTGTGTATGGTGAACACTTAGTCATTCATCCCACTTCATCTCAGCACATGTGACTGTATCATCTCACATCAGCACAAGAAGGGTGAGTATAGTACAGTAAGATATTTCAAAACAGGCAGCAAGCACATTCATGTAATTTTTATTACAGTATATTATTCTACTTATTAGTAGTTATCAGTTTATCTCTTCCTTTTCCTGATTTATGAATTTACCAACATTATCATAGGTATGTTAGGATAAGAAAAAAACAGCACCTACAGGGTTCAGTACTATATGTAGTTTCAGGCATCCCCTGGGGCACTTGAAATGTAACTTCCAAATCAGGGGAAACTTTGTCCAAATACCTTAACTGCATCCCAGAGAAAAATTTAACAACACTTATAACAATACAGCATCAGGGTTAGGGGCATAGCTCAGTGACAAAATGCATGTTTAGTATGCATAAAGCACTGGGTTCAATCCTTCAGCACAAAACCTATAAAGTAAAATAAAACCAGTGAGAAGATATTAAAAGACATAAAGGAAAAGGTACATTATGTGCAGAAGAAAAGAGTGTTTTGGCAAGATTCCATTTTAGATACAATGCTAGAAAATGCAAACTAATGCATTATGATAGAAAGTAGGTCAGTAGATGCCTCAGGATGGAATGCAAGTGAAAGGGGACAGGAGAGAGGAGCAGAAAAGGTGAAAAGGAAGCCTTTGCATGCAATGGATATACTTATTATCATGATTGTGGTCGTAGCTTTAGGACTACACATGTATATCAAACTTACCAAACTGTACATTTTAAATACACATCCATAAGGCTGGAGGAGAAATTCACATTAGAAATAACCATTCAGAATTTCAAACTGACTTCTATATGGGTAGGAAGTGAAAGAGCCATTTATAAGCATAACCTTCAAGAACCAAGAAAGAGACGGTAAGACAGTATTGGAGTCAAAACAAGATTTGTCTTTGCAGTAATTGGTACCTTTTCCCAGAGGCCAGATGAAGAAACATGTAACTTGAGGGAAGTACTGAAACCTGGGGCTTATTCCCCAAGTGCTGTTAACTGTTACCCCTTTCCTCCCCTGCCAATCCTCCTAGGTACTGACACTCCTTTGAAGCCTGATCAGGGTAAGAGAAGCAAGGGAAGCCAGCTCACCTGTGGTGCTCCTGGGAGAAGTGCTGTTCCAAAGTCCTGGTCTCCCAGCCTTTCCTCAGGTCTGGCAGGAAGCTGGGAAGCAGCCAGAGCTGCAATGAGAGGAGGAAGTTTCCAGAATCCAGATGTCTTCCTTAACCACTACCCAGAGGGTACAGATAAAAATCTTCACAAATTAGAACAATCTGTTCCACTATCCAAATTTCAAGGCTTGTGTTTACCTTCTAAGAAACTCTGACCCCTCCAAACTTCCATGCTTACCCATCTGTCTCCCATCTCCTTACTCAGAAACAAAATCCAAATGGTCTGGCCTAGTCACAAAGTGATTTAAAATACAGACTTTGAGTCTCCAAGGCAGAATGGTTCATGGAGTTCTACCACATTTCCAAACATTCCAGGGCACCACATCATTTCACTTCACGCTTAAGGCTTACTAGCCAGAACCCCCAAATTTCTCCAAGAGAGTACCACATAGCACTGTGAGTAACTGTCCCTCACCTAATTCTGGCTCTGTGTCCAATTCCTCCTTCACGTTGTGGTGCAGCAGTTCCCCAGGCCCTGAGGGCAGATTGTGAAGCCCCAACTCCTGGGGCTCCACTTCCCAGTGTGGAGAGTCGTTCTTCTCTGATAGGACATCCTGCCCCAGAACTTGGATGCTGATCTAGAGACCAGACAATACAGTCAAGGTTCCTGAAAGATGTGCAACTAACCTTCTGTAACAGACCACAAGACAGTCTTTACACCCACAGAGTAAACAGAAAACCAGCTTTTGGTCCAGCAGGAACCAGTGAAAGAAGTATCCCAAAAGACACCAAAAGCTGAGGCCAAACCAGGCCTGGGACACCTCTGAAACATGCCACTAATACTGAGTTCTACTAGAAACTCTCTGCCAGTTAAAACTCAGGGCCTTTCAAATAACTCAAATACTAAAGGTGGAGTGGGATGGGAGACTTCACTCCCGACCCCAATGGCTAAAGGTGTTGAGTCATAGAGAGTCTTAGAATTTGATAAGGTAGAGAAAACACAGGTTTGGCATATGAAACATCTAATTATCTTTGTCCTCTGATCCTGGAACAGAGCTCATAAAATTCTTATAACTTCCCAAGTGACAGGAGTGAAAGAAGTCTTTTTTACTCACAATAAAGACTTTTCAGCTGGGTGCCTGTGACTCACATCTGTATTCCCAGCTATTTGGGAGGCTGAGAATGGGAAGATTGTGGTTTGAGGCTAGCCTGGGAAAATAGTTTGCAAGACCCCATCTCCAAAATAACAAGAGCAAAATGGACTAGAGATGTGACTCAAGTAGTAGAGCTCCTGCTTCACAAGCATAAAAGCCCTGAGTTCAAATCTCAGTCTCACCAAAAAAAAAAAAACAAGATTTCATTTATACTGGAGTTTGTGCTAATGAGGCAACTCTAAGTGGGCCCCTAGATAGCTTCAGGGGCTGGTTGCCAGAGGAAGCAACCATGTCATTCAACAGTAGAAACTTGGCTGTGCATGGTGGTGCATACCTGTAATCCCAGGTACCCAGGAAGTGGGGGCAGGAGGACTGAGGTTTGTTTCAGGCCATTCTGGGCAAAAAAATAAATGTTAGTGAGACCTTATCTCAACTAACAAGCTGGGCATGGTGGTTCACATCTATAATTTCTGCTTTTGGAAAGCAGAGGTAGAAAGAGTGTGGTCTGAAACTGAACAAGCAAAAACATGAGACCTTATCTGAAAAACAAACTAAAAGCAAAAGGACTGGGGATGTGGCTCAAGAGGTAGAGTGCTTATCGAGCAAGCGCAAAGCCCTGAGTTTAATTCCCAGTACTTCAAAAACAAACAAGCAAACAATACCCTCTGCTTACCCACTGCCACAGTCTCTGGGGATCTCCCTTCAAGCTCTCCACAAGGGTCACTGCCTCTTCCCCACTACCTGGGTGCTGTTTCCGTACCCACGTCTGGATCTCCCCAGGGAGAATGGTCAGAAACTGCTCCAACATGAGGAGCTCTAGGATCTGCTCCTTGGTGTGAACTTCTGGCCGCAGCCACTGGAAACAGAGCTTCCGAAGTTGTCTCAGGGTCTCCTGGGGTCCAGACCTCACCTGGTAACGAAACTGCCTAAAAAGCTGGCGTGCAGTCTCGGGGCTGGAGAGTTCTCCTTGACAGGCAATGTCTGGTCCAGAGAGTGAGGCATCCTCAGCCTTTGCCAGTGAAGGCAGAAGGCCAAGGGCCTGCCCCAGGTCTGTGGGCATCGTCTGGCTTCACAAGTCCTTTAAGGTGCAGTGCTTCCAGGGTGGAATTGTCTCTGAGGAGAACCAAGTCTTCAGGAGGATGTTAAAGAGGTAATGAGATCGAAAGCTGTACAGAGGAGAAGGACACATATTCAGAAAGAACAATGCACATGCCCACCGAGAGGCCCTGCAGTCTTCTGATCTGCTCGACATATACACTATTCTATTTTGAAAGAATGTAAACTTGAGGCTGTAAAGCAAACCTCCAACACAGGATAGAAACAACCACCATCACCCTGCCCAGTTAATAACAGTCTCTGTTGGCTTTCAAATGCCCAGACCATGCAGAAGAATAAAATGTAGCATATGAAGCATTGTCACTATGGGTTTCCAGGTAACAGCTCTTCTGCAAAACATACTTCTATATATGCACCTATACATCTGCAGACTGAAAAATAAAGCCAGATTGAGACAATAATGCCTAGGATACAGGCTTATGTTGAAAGGACCAGATGCTTCCATGGCAACTGGACACCTCTCCTCTGCCACAGGCTCTTGCCATGATGTTCTATCCCACTAAGTCACCATGGACTAAAACTTTTGAAACCATGAGCCAAAAGAAATTTTTCGCCCTTATAAGTTATTTGTCTCAGGTATTGTATCACGGTGACATGAATCTGACTAACACAGTATCAAGATTTTAGAAGACCACAACTGAGGCAGTGAAAAGAGTGGCAAAGTTAATATTAACATTTCAAAAGCTCACACGCTTTGTATTTCTAGTTAACTTTCTTGCAGGTGTTCCTAATCGTGGATCATTGGATGAAGCCTTAAATGTTGTGAAGGAGCTAAAAGGTACCATTTCCCCGTAATACTAATAGCAACAAACAAACAAATGAAAAACCACACTCAGTCACGTGGGTTTCTGACCTAATTAGAGATCAGCATAATACTCTAGCTGTTTTGAATTTTCCCTTTTGGAAGGGGGGCATTTTTGGGATTTAAACTCAGGGCCTCTCCCTTGCTAGCCAGCTGCTTTATCACTTGAGACGTACTTCCAGCCCTCTAGCTTTTTTAATAGCTGTGTTTTTCTTGACGTATAAGAAGCAATGTCCTCTTCCCTAATGGATGAGGACATTTCTGTCCTCCTTCTGATGTAGTCATCCTACATCAGAAAAGCATTTAGCCTAGTGTGGTGGTCCATGCCTGTAATCCCAGCATTCAGGATGCTGAGGCAGGAGGATTATGAGTTCAAGGACAGTCTGGGCTACATAGCAATAACTTGCCTCAAAATAAATAAATAAATAAATAAAAATAAAGGGCATTTTAAAGCCAAAACAGGAGAAGAAATAGGAATGCAATTTTTCCCAGAGTCCAACAAAAGAAAGAATGAGGTAAAAAATGATCAGCATATGTTTCTCAGGCAGAACTATTTTTTTTTAGTTTTAAACAAAACCTACATTTTTTATTCATATATTTATGCAGCACCCAGTGGCAATAAGTGACATGTGCTGGGTGTGCTCAATAAACCTGTATTTGGAGGAATTCTGCTTTTCACCTTGGCAGAGTAATCAGTAATATAAAGGAGCCCCCCCACTGGAAGCAGCTACGAAACTGGAAAAGTATAAGGCACTGCAGAATAAGGAAGGGAAGAATGCAGTCTCTGAGAGAATAGAAATGTGTGAGGAAAGCCCACAATCATTTTGGCTGTCTGTTCAAGGATAAAGGCCCAACTACTGTGCAGGAAGTGGAAGTTCAAGTAGAGCAGAAAGGTCTCACTAAGCTGAAGATCTGAGATTAGAATGTGGAACAGCTGAAGCAGCTGGAGTCTCAAGAATAGGGCAGGGAGGAATCTGTGGGGATGGGAACAGTAACCTGTCTGGGGTGTCCTCATCAGCCGCTGCACAAGGCTTGGCCTGCACACCAGTAGGATGAAACTGCAAGGTTTAATAAAGAGCAGTTGCAAGAGGGTTAAGAGCTAAAGACTGATGAGTAATGAGATACTGGAGTCTTTAACTGTCCAGACAGAAGAGAGCTTTCTGCATATCCAAGCAGTCCTGAGACATGAAGAAGACTACATGTCAGGGGTAAAGTCCACACACTAGAGTGAGGCCCACTTTCATCTGCTCTAACAAAACCTAAAACCAAGCTTCAACAAGATCTACAGATGAGGTCATTCTTGTTCTCTCTCTAGAGATGACCACTTTCACTCTATTCTTTTTTTTTGTTTTACTTTCACTCTATTCTAAGTGTATTTCTTTCCTAATAAACTTTACTATCGAGAAAAAAAAAAAAAAAAAAGCCAGGTATCAGTAGCTTGTAATCCTAGCTACTCAGAAGATAGAGATCAGGAGGATCCAGCCAGTCTGGGCAAATAGTTTGTGAGGCTTTATCTCAAAAAAACCCATCCATCACAAAAAGGACTGGTGGAATGGCTCAAGTGGTAGAGCACCAGAGTTCAAATCCCAGTACCACCAAAACAAAACAAAACAAAACAAAAGATCCACAAGTGAGACCCTGCTTAGTTTTATCAACTTAGAAAGACATGGAAAACACCTTGGACTTTTCAGAGATCTTCTAAGAATAAAACTGAGCCTATAAGTTGAAAGTGATCAGTCAGTAAATGAACTGCCTGCTACAATCTTTAAAGGAAGATAATTGAATCTTTTGCATCTACAAAATGCTATCCAAATTAATATCCAGACTATAATCCAAAATTAATAGACATGTCAAGAAACAGGAAAATATAACCCAACGTTAAGGAAAAAAGGAGTCCAGAGAAACCAACTCAAAAATGGTTCAAGGACTTAAAAAAAATATAGCTTTAATGGGAAAAGAGATAGGGACTTTCCACAAAAAACATAAAAAAGAAAATATAAATTATAAAAAATGAATTGCAACCTATAAGTCTACATCCAGCATAAACATAATAATAATCCTTCAGAAATTAGAATTAAGACACAATTTTTAGGGTCCATGGATGAAGCCCTAGGTTCAATCCCCAGAACCTCAAACACACAGACACACAGTTTTAAGATAAACCAGGAGAATTTGTCCCCAGTGGATGTGCACTACAAAGAAACGCTAAGCCATATTCTTCCAAATTATGGGAAACTCAAATGTACAGAAAAGAATGAAAAGCATCAAAAATAGTTACAATGTGGTGAATAAAAATAAAACACTACAGTTTTTATTCTTATAACTTCTTTAAAAGACATCTGGTTGCTAAATGCAAAGCTAATTACAATGTAATAATAAAAGACATTAAAATAGCATGGGGAGGGTAAATGGAATTAATCTGTTACTAGATTTGTGAATTGCCAAGTGAGAAATAGGATTAGAAGTGAAAAGTGAGCAGTGAGGTGTATCAGGTGGGAAAGCAGAAGTGTGAAGGTGTGACAGGAAAAATGACAAATGTGCATTGTCATTTGTAAAGCGGTGCAGTCTTAAGGAGATTTTGATAAGTTAAATTTTGTTAAGGAGGTATATTGTTAGCTCTGCAAATATGTTTTATTTCAAGATAGGGTCTTACTATGTATCCCAGACTGTCTTTGAACTCAAATGATCCTCCTGTCTCAGTCTCCCAACTGCTAGGATTACAGGTGTACACCACCATGATCAGCTAAAAATATTATTCAAAGATGCATACCTTAAAAGCAATAAAGGAATACCAAAAAATACTCAATAACTCAGAATGTGATAGGAAAGGAGCAAAAAAAAAAAAAAACCAAAAAATCAATAACCAGAAAAGTTAAATGAAAAACAAGACAATATGGTAGACTAAATTCCAACCATATCAAGAGCTATATTAAATGTAAATAGACTAAACACCTCAACTACAGGCAGAGCTTGCCAGATTTTAAGAACCAAGACACTATATGCTGTTCCCAAAAGATGTTTTAAAGACAGAGACAGGAGACTGGGAGTGTACCTAACTGGTAGAGCACCTGCCCAGCATGAATGAGGCCTTGGGTTCAACTCTCAGCACTGCAGAAAGTTGGGGAGAGGAAGGGGGAGACACAGGTAAAAAATGAAAGGATGAAAAAAATATATTCTATGCAAACAGCGAGCATATCAAAGCTGATATAGCTATATTAGTATCTGACCAAGCAGACTTGAAGACAAAAAGAAAACTAAAGAGGATCATTATGAGAAATGAGTCAATTCATCAATAATAATTATTGTACTGACAAGGAAGACTTCAATATAAAGAGAAATAAAAGCTAAGCATGGTGGTACAAGCTGTAATCCCAACTACTTGGGGAGACTGAGGCAGGAGGATTGCAAATTCAAGGCAGGCCTGGTCAACTTATTGAGATACTATTTCAAAATAAAGAAGGGGGGGGGCTGGGGATACTAGCTTAGTGGCAGAGAGCATGCGCTACATGAACAAAGCCCTTGGTTCAATCTACCCCAAAAAAGGAAAGAAAGGAAGGGAAAGGAAGAGAGAAACGAAGGAAGGGCAGAAGGAAGGGAGGGAGGGAAGAAGGGAGGGAGGGATGACATCATCTAAAATAACCCTAAATGCAGATGTACCTAGTATCAATTGTAAAGAGAAATCCTCAGTCATTACTAGAGAATACAACACCCTTCGCCCACTAACCGAAGCATATGAAACAAAAAAAAAATCTGTAATGATATATAAAATCTGAATACTATAAACCAAATTGGTTTACTTGGCACATACAAAACACTAGACCCTACAGTTGCAGAATATACTAATTTCCAGTATATAAGAAATATTCATTAAAACATGATATACATAATACATTTCAAAAGATTGGAATCTTTAAGTACATACTGGCTAACCACAGTGCAATTAATTAGAAATCAATGCTAGTACGATACATAGAAAAATCCCAGTTTATGGACACTAATAATCCATAGTCAAAAAATATCACAAAGGAAAATTATATTTTCATACTGAATGATAATGAAAATACAGCATATCAAACTTTGTAGGAATCAGCTGGGGCGTTGCTTAAGGAAGACCCACAGTGTTAAATACTTGTTTTAAAAAATGAATAAAGCTACTCAGGAGGCAGAGATCAGAAGGGTCGCCATTCCAAACAAGCCCAGGCAAAAAAACTCACAAAAAAGGATTGGTGAAATAGCTCGAGGTGTAGGCACTGAGTTCAAACCCCAGTACTGCAAACAAAACAAAACAAAAAACAATGAACCCCAGCGCTGGTGGTGCACTCCTGTAAGCCTGCTACTTGGGAAGCTGAGCAGGGAAGGATCATGGGGGGGGAATAGTTCGTGAGACAGCCCCCCTCCTCCATCTGGTTCAATTGGTAGAGCGCCTGCTTTGCAACTGCAAAGCCTTAATTTCAAACCTAGTATGGCAAAAAAAAAAAAAAAAAAAGAAGAAAACAATGAATGAATATACGTACAGAAATCCTTCACTAGCTAAATGAATTTGGCTCCTGAGTTTTAAATAACATGTAGCAAAATACTGATCTGTAAATTTATTCAAATTTAGCTGGTTTCTGAATTAAGATAGTTTAGATAACACTTGGGAGAAATTATATTTAAGGAAAACTACAGACCTTACATAATAATTAAATCCAATCTGAGTAATTATTATACACACGATAGTAGTAAAAAAAAATCTCTTAATTATTCTAAATTACTTTATATAGGGGTTTATATCCCAAGACTTCATGAGGACCTGCTCACAATGTATCACAAAGGTATACTTGTTTTTCTTGGTAAAGCATTAACAAATTAGAATGAAATTTTAAATGTGAGGCTCCGTAACCACTGTTAGTATATATACGTTACTACTATATATACATGTTATCCACATAGTTGCACATATAAGTAACCATTCGCTGAGCACCGACAGCTCACTATCAGGCTTCTTTCATATTGTTTTCTAATCTTCACTTTCACCCTGCAAGGTAAGTAGTAAAGCTTACAGATCAGGTGCCTCTGAGGTTCCCAAGTGGCAATGGAATTCAAACCCAGGAAGTGCTATCAGGCCTGTGCTTTAGAGATGAAAGTCAACATTTGGTAGTTTGTGGGAGCGCTTTTGGGGTTATCACAAACAGCTGGGGCAGCACTGGCATTCAGTGTCCCGAGGCCAGGGCAGTGCTGACCACTGTATTACTCTCCAGCCTGTGCGCCCCAAAGGCAACACCCTGGTCAGAGAGACAGAGACAGGGAGAAACAGAGAGAGAGAGGGCGCGAGCGAGCCCAGGCGTCATTCCACCAGGACCCCGCTTCCAAGGCTCACTTCCACCCCTCGGGCGAAAAACATCGGGGAAGAGCGCGTTTTCCATCCCAGCACACGGCCCGGCGGAGCACCCGACACCGCCTCCAGGCACAGGAACTCAGGACCGGGTTAGGTTCCCGGCGTCCCCACGCACCCAGAGCCCACGCACGGCCCGGCCACCCCTCCCCCGCACTCGACGTGTCGCCCGCGAGCGCGCTCCCAAGCACACGGGCGCGCGCGTCCGCTGTCCCTGCCGTGACTCCGAAGGTGGGAGGACCCTGGCTGAGTCTCGGGCGGACGCGAGCGGCGCCAGGCCCGACCCCGGGCGGCCAACGGCGGGACCTGCCCAGCCCACTCCCTCACCTCGGCCGCGGCGCCGGCTCGAGCGCATTTCCGGGAGCTGGGCGGCTGCGCGCGCCGCGGGCGGCCCGAGCGACGCGCGGCGCAGGGGCGGGGAGGACCGGAGGGGCGGGGCCGGAACTGAGATCGAGGCTCCTATTGGCCTCCAGGGTGCCCCGCCCCGCTCCGCCTCCCACGCTGTCCGCAGCTACAGCGGGCGGGGCCCAGGGCCAGCCGAGCCTTCCTGCTCTCCATTCTTCCATTCAGTCAAGCTGCGTGCACGTCTTCGCGGCTCCCTAGATACTTAATGCGTGCCTATTCTGCATGGAGTACTAGGCCAAGCACTGCGAGAGTTACGAAGGTAATACCCTAGTCCATTGCCGACTCCTCTGCCTAGTCCATCCCCCAGGTTGAAATGCTCACGCCCAATCTCTCGCGCCATTCCTGCCTCACCTGGCCTTCCTGCAGCATTTGATTTGCCCTAACCTTACTCTGCCTTGGTTCACCGACTCTCACGAACTCTGTATTTTCTGAGTTCTCTCTTCTCACTTCTCATCTCATTCTTGTTAGACTTAGTGAGATGCCGCACTTGCTTCTCTTCCAAGTGTCTCTCTCTCTCCCTCATTTTTCTCATTCTTCAACATGGATGTCATTCTGGATTCCTACTGTTCTCCTTTCCTCTTCTATCCACCAACAATTGCCAACTCGTAGGATTTTTTTTTTTAATCTCATTGTCTGACAGACACCTTTCTCTCTCTCTCCATTCTTACCTCCACATAATTCTAGACCAAGACAGTGACCACAGACTTTTCAGCAGTTTCCCAGATGCCCATTTCCAGGCCATCTTGCCCCGGGCCACAGCAGTCATGTTGTGATACTAAAGCTGCATTAACAGAAGTATCACATCCAAATCTGGGAATCCAGTCTTGAGGAATTGACAAACACGAGGGTTTTCCAATAAGGGAATTGCTCTGGTCACATATCTGAAGGAATAAGGAATAAGTCAGCATACGATAGAGATACCTGTACAACCGTGTTTATAGCAGCACTATTTACAATAGCCAAACTATGTAATCAGCTAGGTATCCATGAACTGATGGATGGATAAAGAAATGTAGTATTTATATAGTAGAATATAATGAAGTATTATTCAGCCATAAAGAAGGAAATTATGCCATTTGCAGTTCCACTGATCGAGCTAGAAATCATTGTACTAAGTGAAATAAGCCAGACTGTAAAAGGCAAATTCTGTTTGTTTTCTCTCATATGCAGAATCTAATACTCCCCCTCACTGAAAAAAGATGTAAGTGTAAAATGGGGACCATTTGGGGTCTAGTGGGATGAGGGAGGATGAAAGGAGAAGGTAAAGGGGAGAGTGAACATGATTGAAGCACTTCTTATGCATGTAACAAAAAATAGAATAAAGAAACCCATTAAAATTCTTTTAAAAGGGAGGAAAGGACTAAGAAAGACGAACAGATGAGGCAAATTTGATCAAAGTACATTCCATTCATATATGGAACTATCATAATGAAACCCCTTTTTACAATTAATATGCAGTAGAGTGAAATGTCCTGATGTCCTCTCCCTGTCCCAGGTTTAGAAGAATGGAAGACATCTCTAAGCAATAAAGTATGTGGGGGAATGATGATATAGTCACATACCTGAAAAACTGGTGGAAAAAGGAATTCCACATGAATGGTACCATTTCTGTGCCCAGCACTATTGTACCGGCTAGGTATACAACAGTGAACTACACAAAGTCCTGGCACTCAAGGGACATATTTTGTGGCAGGTGTGGGACAATGAATAAATGCACAACCAAAAAACATTTGGGGTGGCTGGGGAAATAGCCCAGAGGTAGAGTGCTTGCCTAACATAAACTAGGACCTGACTTCGATCCCCTAGACAGCAAAACTAAAAACAAAAAGTATGTTAAATAATGATAAGTGTTGTGTAGAAAATTTAATCGGGGTAGGGAAGGTAGTGGTAGCAATGGAGTACAGTTTATATATGATGGTCAGGCAAGAAGTAATAGATAAAACAAACTTGAACCCAGACCTCAAGTTAAAGGAGCAAGTCTGTATATAGCTGGGGGGAGTTTTCTACAGAGGCAAGAAATGTCTAACCCCCAAGAAAATGAAGGAAGGGGCATAAGGACTGAGTCCTGGGCCACATCAACCAGGAGGGCCTAGAAATAAGGAGGATCTGTTATCAGTGGGTGGGGTGTTCTAGATGTCCCATGATTCTTTGGGTACAATGTCTAAGAGTAGACCAGGTGCAGCACAAAAGCCACAAGAATAGGAAGAGAACACAGAGTAATGTATTACAAACGAGAATTACACCTTAAAATGGAAGCCAGGCAACTTGGATTAGGGTCAATTGTATCGAAGCTGAATGGGCTTGGGTTTTACCATCCAATACTACTAGGTGGTGAGAAACTGGGGCCTTCTCCTTGTGGCCTTTTTCCAAATGGTTTGAGGATTGTGCAGTGGCTACTTAAGTTTGGGCAGTGATATGCACATGATTTTGAGAAGGTGAGGGCAGGTGCCTTATATCCATCAAAGCACATGACCATATGTTAGTGTCATGGGCTTTCAGAGAATTGGCTTGTGAGGCAGTGGATTGACTCGTGAAACAACAAGGTTGGCACACAAAGTAGGATTTATTAGAGAAAGAAAGAGCTGCAAGTAGAGCAGTGCAGCAGAGCCTGGAAACCGGTGGATCCCTGCTCAGGTGAAGGTTGGGGCTTTTTATGGAAGCTTTAACTCTGGGTTAGGGTAAGGGTTAGGTGGGCTCTTTCCATTGGCCATGGATTCGAATGCAGTGGGCTCTTTTCCATGAGTTGGTCTGTTTGCTCCCCTTATTGGGGGGAAACAACCTTGAGAGCATCCTATCTTTTAGCCTTGTGGCAGATTTATGAGGCCATGTATCTCCTTCTCAGGGTGCAGGGCTCACAGTGCTATCCGTGGGGGATGGGATACTGACTCACACATCTGTCCTTTAGGTCCCCAGACCCAACATTAGTTTGTCTTAATCTTTTACAATGTACACATAATCAAAACATCACATGGTACCCCAAAATAGATACAATTATAACCAATTAAAAATTCTAAATTGTTTAAATGTTACCAGAGTTTTAGGGCAAAAGTCCTGGCTTTAGGGGTCCCAATGGACTAGTAGGCTCAGCCACCCATCCCAAAAGCTCAAAGACAGGAGTAATGGCAAAAGGCAGAGAAAGGAGATTTATCTGAATGTGGCCACTGGAAAAGAAAGTAAGCATTTCAGTCTTTCTGCTGGTGTGCTGACATCCCCTTCCAGACTATGCAGAAAAGGGGCAAGAGCATGCCTATGTAATCAGTCTTGGTCAAACTGTAGTCTGAGTGTATATCAGGATTAGTCAGGAAAGGACTTGTGATGATAAAACAGTCATTTCTGCCTGGAGGGAGTAGATTAACTCTTGTCACAAAGATGTTTATCATCAGTTCTGTTGTTCTGGACTTCAAGGTGACTGCAGGGTTAAACAGGCAAAAATAAAGCCAGAGAGGGCCAAAACTGAGTTAGTTAGGTAGTGCCCAGTGACCTTCTTCAAGTTATCATTCTATTTCTATAGGGAGGTTAAAGGCCAAAGGTCATTTTCTTCAGTGACTACTTCCTGCTGAGAAGGGCACCATAGGAATCTTGAAATGGAGGACCTTGACAAGATCAGAAACTTTGTTTCCTGTGCCTTTTCTGGGATGAGATAGGTTAGATACTTAGATACCACTGGTTTTTATACAGCTGCTCCTTGGATTAACATGCCTATGTGCAGTTAAGCAGGAGTCTGACCCAAAGTGGTTTTTGCTGGTTTTTTGGGTGAGATTGGGGTTTGAACTTAGGGCTTTGCACTTGCAAAACAGGTGCTCTACCGCTTGAGCCACACCTCCAATTAATTTTGCTGTTATTATTTTGGAGACGGGGATCTTCCGAACTATTTGCCTGGGCTGGCCTCGAGCCTAGAATTACAGGCATGAGCCACAGGAGCCCAGCTTGACCCAAAGCTGTTAACACAAGGAGAGAGATGCAAAATGAAAGCAGGAATGCCAAGCTTTCATTCTGCTTTTAGTTAATTTGTGGGCCCAGATGAGGAGGCAGTGCTTTTCAGCAAAAGCAGTTTCTAACCTTTGTATAACCTTTTGTTATACAAAAGGGTGAAGAAAAAAAAAAAACTAGAAACCAAAAGAAGATTATGTGGGAGAAAAAGAATGAAAGAAAGAATAAAACTTCAAGATTTTTTTTTACAATTAAAGATACTTTTTTTTGGAGCTAGGTTACTATGTAGTCCAGGCTGGAAACTTAGGATCCTCCTGCCTCTGGCTCCCCAGTGCTGGAATTAAAGCTATCT